TTGAGTAAATGAAGTATAGATCTAACTAAGTTACTTCAGAGATTACTTCTTTGCACTGAACATGAAGTTGAAAGAATTAAAACCAAATAGTTTTCATACGTGTTTTTTTATTTGTTGAAAGTTGCGACTGACAAAAATTAGAGGGAGTGGGGGGCTGGTAATTTTTAGAGTTAGAGGAACACTGAACAACCTTAACTTGTGATATGCATTTTTATTTACATGGCTTATATGATTGTAATAGTTTGGATGTTATCTTTTACACATGAAAAAACAGATAATTTAATACATTGTAGGAACACTTATCATTGCTTTTAAAAGTTGGTTACAGTTTACTCTTAGGAGTTCTATTGCACATGTCTACTACTGTTATCAATCATAGACTGGACTGAAGCACTGTTAATGTAAATGATTTTATTCCAGGTAGTCAACTCAAGCTGTCAGACACAGGAAGGTGCTGCTGCTGCTACACCTGCCTGCGACCAGGACATCACATAGACGTCAAGTGACATCACAACCTTCACAGACAATTCATTCCCACAACTGCTCGAGTCTGCAGTGTTAGAAGTTTGAAATAACCCTTATCACAACTCCACCAAATCTAAGTCCGGAAGTGCCATGGTTGATAAGCAAGATAGTGATGTCCTCACCTGACACGATGCAGGAATTAGGAGCTGTTCTTAAGCCACCATTCCTTGATACACATGCAGTGTATGGCAAGTCAAACTCTTTCTTTGCCGACAAGGAACTCATGTGGAGTACATTTCATGAGAACCAATTTTAAACTTTGTGCCAGCTTATGATCTGTGGTTTTTTAAGTTGCGACCGAGACAGAAATGCATGTCTATGTCTTTATTCAGTGCCTCCTTGATGACCTCAGATGTGCCATTAACAACTTCACAGGAAGAAAACCAAAAAATCTGTAGAGTTATTTACAGACAACGACAACTCGGTCCTATTCTACATATCAGGATATTTGATTTATGCCATGGAGAATAAATCAATGAAGAAAGGAAGTTCCGCCTCTGTGCCTCATCTATCCAGAAGTGTCCTGATTTCGTTACAAAGGTCCAAAAGTGGACTTGAACAGTGAACAGTGGTGGATTAAGAGTCTGTGATGATAACTTTTTCTTTCTTGTCAGAAAAATGGCGACAATATGCAGACTGGCAGTTAGTTTAAAGGATCGGAACACTGATGCATCGCAAAGATGGCACTGAAAGATGCAAGACCTCACAGAGCTGGAAGAGCTGTTGCAAAACATGTGCAAAGACAATTCCAGAAGGAAAATGCAAAAGCATATTTAAAAGGAAAGATGTCCCAGTCTCTGAGGAAATGACTGCGAACTTACAATGATTCATAGCTCTCATGATAAAAATTGTCCCCTTATGTATATTGCTTGTAGATCCTAGTTATCAACACATGGATATACTTTTGATATTAAATTATTTTAATCATGTATGTCAATTGTGACGTATGTTGAGTCGCACAAAGCATTTATTATACCTTGTATACATACTTGCCTTCTAGAACCTAAGTTTGACTGCAAAACATTAAACTAGAAAGTTTAATAAATACAACCTTAAACAAGTTGTCATCTTCATTTATTTTGGATTTTATATTATTACGTCTGCTGTGTCCTGTAGCCACAATAACTCAGTTTATGGGCATATGCCCTCTAAGTCAACAGTCTACTAACAACCACATCCAACTCATCTTCAGCGACATACTGGAGTACTTTGTGAAGTACAACATAAAACTCATTGGCAGTACAGTTGTCGGAATCTGTAACCTCTTTGTAGTAGCTGTTAGGTATGGAAGCTGATTGATTGCTGTCTTTCACATAGAAATTCTCCCAAGCTGTTTTCCATCCAGAATTGTCATTGCAGTCTTTTCTGAAATTATTATTGCATTTAATAAAGATCATGTCACATACACATTACATATTATCTTTTAAAATTATTTATTTTATAAAAACTACAAGAGGGATTTGTTTATCATTCAATGAAATGTGTGGTTTATTGAACGAGAACCTTATTTCTTTTAAAGATGACATTTGTTTGAAGCACTGTACATGCTTTAAGGATATTGATAAAATATACAAGCTTAAAAAATGTTACCAGATTTCAATAAGCATGACATCATGTCATAAAGGAACTCTGTTTATCGTGAAATACACATGCCTCGGTCTTCAGTGTTCTTTGCGATCTATGGGACTGCCTCCGTGGTCTAGTGGTAGAGCGTCCGCCCGGAGAGCGGAAGGTCCGGGGTTTGATCCCCAGCTGCGTCATACCAAAAGACGATAAAAGATGGTACTTGTTGTTACCCTGTCTGGTGCTCGGCATTAAGGGGCTAAAACAAGGAATGGTTGGCTCGGAGTCAGTATACTGTGTCTGAGTGGGGTATTCATGTTAAACTGCGGCATGGTATCTCAGTGAGCTAGCACTATAAATCGGCATCAGTCCAGACTAGTACAAGCAGCACACACACACACACACACACACACACACACACACACACACACACACACACACATGCATGCACATCGCTATATAATTGCAATAATCTTGGACGCGACGTTAAACCCCATTTCACCTCACCGTTGTGATCTAAGGCGTATGATGGAATGCCTAACTTTATTGTCAATCAGTCTGTACTTTGTCTCTACTCACGTTGGAAGTAACACTGTAGTGCCCTCTCGAGAGCATAACTCTTATAGCTGGCCGGTCTTGATATTCCAGGATGATAGGGAATATGATTGGTAGATGGACCAGGGGTGCTGCCAGTTGAATAGCCGTGGTCTTCGGCACCATGATGATCTTGCTTTACTTTACATTGCCGACGTTTCTTTCTAGGACCGATTGTTTTTCTCCTTGACACAGGCTGAGGAGTATGGGGCATCTAAGAGACAAAACACATGTATAATTAGACTTAAATTAAATAATATACATGATCATAAAAAAAATGAACTTAACTAAACCCTAATAACAATCTTAATATATAGTATAGTATTTACCATTGCTATGTGATGGATAAGAGACATAATTTAAATCAATAGATTTCTAATTGTTTTCAGAATCTTCATTGTGTAAATATATATCTAGACCTTACAATTCACATGTTTATTAAAATATTACCAGTGTTCGATCTTAGAAAAAAAATTAAACATTATAAGCTGAACTCCTACAACCAAAATAATTAGGGTAGTATACAATATTGAAATGCATATATATGTAAAATAAAGAAAATATATATGAAATATAGATCTAGAAATAAATTTCTAATCATTGTCGTGACAACCTTCATTCTATATCATATAAACAGGCTATCTATGAATCTAGATCTTTATAAAAAATTGATCAAAATGACAAATATTATCTTGAAAAGTTGTAAAATCAGGCCTCAAAGTTGCGACTAAAACGGTCACTAATGCCACCTAAATTTCAGTTTGTCTACTGTCTAAAATTCTCGTCACGATATGGCTGAAATATTGCAAATGTGACGTAAAGCATTAACTCACTCACTCACTGTCTAAAATTCGGAGGTAACCAAATGGCTATCTTGAAAAATATCTTGTGGCTACTAAAATCTATTGCTACACATATGTAGACACAAAAATAAATGTGTCTGCTACTAATTGTACTCGCAAATAATTCCCCTTATATTCAACAATCAACCGAAATACATCAATATTAATGTAATTAGTATTTTATTATAGTTGATAGTTTATTGGATAAGCAAGGATAATCCTATATAATCTCTTAACATAAATTGCATCATTGTTCGAGTCACAATTAACAAAACTCAAGTACAGTTTCCACTAATATACAATTCCAAGACTAGTGCTATGACTTGTTCATATAATAGTTATTTGATAAAAGATCATTTCAAATGCTTTTGGCTACCTACACTATTGGCTTGACTTCTTAATTTTACCACTGGCTACCTGGAAAAAAATACTTGTAGGCATATGGCTGTTTTGTAAACATTTAAACTTTGAGGCCTGAAAAAATAGAGATGGATGAACAGTGAGCATTAGAATCTAGGATAAAAAATAGCTGTTTTTATTTGCACCTTTTGACGTCGAATTTGACATAAAACAAAGAAAACTCATCGTCAGTCAAACACACATAAATTGAAGTTATCAAAATCTTTATTTCTGGAAAAATTAGTTGAGTAGGTTTTTTTTCAATTGGTTTTAAAAATCTGTAACGATAATTGAAGATTTCACTACATTATCAATCTAACCAAAAATGTCTTGATATTTGAGAGTGAAAATCTCGAAATAAAGACATAATTGTTTTGATACAAAATCTCCTATAGTTAAAACATAAGTTGTTCTTCCATATGACCAAAGTAACTAAGGACTTTCTGCATCCTCCGCTTCATAAATTGGTGCACGAATGGGACATAATTTACAATTCTGCTGACTGCGCGTGTTTGGTTTCGAAGTCGGCGTCACGAGTTATAACTGGCTACACTTAAAAGGGGAATCAAGCCAAGGACAATAGTTAAATCACTAAAACAAGACATTGCACTTTCCTGCACATTATAAGTAATGATAATTCTTACCTTCAGTTCATGAAATGCTACGTTAGTGCTGCAATCAGTAAAATTCCAAACACAATGTCTTTGCTCTGTTGTCTAGCGATAGTGAATTACCCGCGCGCATACAGCCGGCCGATGAACCCCTGCTGTGGCAATTAGCGCGTCTCACATCACAGAAGGCTGCTTATCCTTTGTATATATGTCTTTGAGTTATGGAAAGACGAATGAAAAAATATTGGTTACCTAACGAAAAATGTAATATCCCAATTAAAATAGAAACCCTAGAGTAAAAACTGAATTGCTACAAAATTTATCTGGAAGCTCTGGTTAAACAACATACAAAACAAATACCAAACAACGCAAGTCACAAATGCCAGCGTCTAGATGGATGCTGATCGTGGGAGGATCTGCTGATAGAGCCCCCTTTCATTCACTGCCAGCTTTTTTCTCTTAACAGAGTTCCAATCAAAGAGGAAGAAACCTGACCCCTACACAACAGAGGACACGGAGGAGGAGGGCTTCTTCGAATTTCTATCCACGGTTTGTTGCATCCTACCAGTGTTCTGATGTATAAACCAAGGGTTGACTCCTTGACATCACCAGGGTTTGTTGCATACTACCAATGTCTGAATGTATAAACTAGGGCCATGGGTGGCCCAGTCGTCTAAGGCGCCTCGATTCGCAGTGCAGAGTTGCGTCCCTTGAGCAGGCCAGAAACCTATGATTGTTGGTTCGAAGCCCGGTTCGCCCTGATTATGTTTCTAGGTTTGTCAGCACCATACCCGTGCTCGTGGGTTTACTGAAGTGGTAAACGTCTGAGACCTGCATCACTTCGGGCTTTCCTCCCACATTAAGCTGACACGCTGCGATATAACTGGTATACTGTTTAATGCGGCGTAAAACCCAATTCACTCCATCACTCACTCAGATGTATAAACCAAGGGTTGACTCTTTGACATCACCAGCATTGTTGTTGCTGCATATATTCTGTGTAACAAAACAATGCAATGTGACACAGTGTTGACAGTACCAGGCACATTTCTCTGCATATTGTCTCAAACAAAACGAAAATGCTTAACTTAGTTGTGCTGTATGCAAGTATTTAGACCCTTTTTTTTAATGTATAAATTCCCTTGTCAGATGAAATACTCTGTACATTGCTACTTCATGTGTCTGTATTGTGAGGTTTCCAGAAGTTCCGGTCGGAGGGAAGGAGCAGCATTGATGACTACATCCTCACCGAAGATGATGTAAGTTGTATCCAGAGGAATCTGAGGCTAACGAGGACTTGGGTTTGAGAGACATTTGTGGAATATGTCGTGGTTAATCTCAGTCATTGGTACTTTGCCATCCATCATTCAATAACTATAAGAAGTCAATTCATTTTTGAACTTTTATGACCTAATGACACTATTGAAAATAAATGGTCCAGAAAAGTTTGTTAAAATTTGATAAATCTTTTCAATAGGTAGAACCTTGCTCTTACGTTTTGCAGCAATAGAAACGAACAGTTTTCATCCACTAGTCCTCACAATGGTAACGAAGCAAAACCCTTAAAAAGGGCAAATTTCATAATGACATGAATGAAGAAGAATTGAAGATGTTGAAGTCCTGGAAAGATTGTCTGAAACAACTGAATGCCTAAAAGCAATGGATCTAATTTGATGGACAACATCAGTAAATGCTTCGATGAACATTTTTCCTGTGTATCAGAGATTTATCTAGGATTCAAAACTAAGTGCCCATGGCAGCCAAATTGGGAAGAAATTGTTGTTTTGTTCAAGATTTGGATGTGTTTTATAAGTTCTTACTTTGTTAGATTCAGAACTAATTTATCATTGTATTTTGAGAATGCATTCAATTCAATAATATAATTATAACTAAAAACTTCTTATGTATTTGCCCTGTTATCAATGAAATACAAGATATCTCTACAAGCCATAAAATTAGTTGAATTGGGAAATTTTAATTCTGCTTAGGGAATTATTTTCATATTTGTGTCAGACGAGAGATTGGCCTCTGAACAGGTCTGGATAAATCCCTGTGTGTCCAATATTTGATTTGTTTTGTGACAGAAGTGTGTCAAATTCATTTCAGTGTACATTATTAGACCTTCGCTTCTTCTTTTTTCTTACATCAGGTTCTAGTTTTCTTGATTCATTGATGACAGATTTACTGTTTTCCTGCCCCTGAGAGCGGTTTACTTGGGGTGAGATGGGTGATGTGCTTAATATGTGCATAGCATGTGCTGTGCGTATTCAACATGTTGACATATATATTGTCATACAGTATTCAGGAAATCTTTGACTTTCAAATTCTATTTCATACCAGTTGAAGAAATTCCAGTCCTATGATGAATGGCAGAAAGCGAGAGACCCTAGCAAGCCCCCCAACAGGTGTAAGAGGGTAGGTGGTGGTTTGAGATATTAATTATCGGATACCGTAAGTTCAGAAATCATTTTAAGCAGAGCTAAATTCTAAATGAACACAGAAATTGTTGTTCTGATTAACATTGCTTCAACTTAATATTCAATTACGCCAAAATCAAATTGCACATTTTGCAAATTTGGAATTGAGAAAACAATATGATTATGAGGAAAAGGATTTACACACAGATAATATTCCTTGAGATTTTCGACCGCCTCTTTTGGTAGAGTGTCTGCCCGGAGAGCAGAAGGTTGGGGGTTTGATCCCGTCTGTGTCATACCAAAAGATGCTAAAAGATGGTACTTGTTGTTACCCTGCCTGGGGCTCGCGATTAAAGGGCTAAAGCAAGGACTGGTCGGCTTCAATGCTTGCTGAAAAAGGCGACCATGCTTGTTGTAAGAGGCGACTAACGGGATCTAGTGGTCAGGCTCACTGACTTGGTTGATGCATGTCATCGATCCCAATTGCGTGGATTGATTCTCATGATATTAATCACTGGATTGTCTTGTCCAGACACGATTATTTACAGACCGCCGTCATATTGCTGCAATATTGCTGAGTGAGACGTTAAACAACAAACCAACCAAGCAACTGGTCGGCTTGTGGATAGTCATGCTAAGATTGTGACATGGTATTTCAGAACACCCAAACTGTTAAATGTTTCTAGATGAAAATTGCTATACAGATCAGTCTTGTGATGAACTGGCACCTTTTGATTTGGCGTTTTTAGAACGAGTGAACAGCCTTTTTTATCCCCCCCGACATATAATGACGGGGGGATATAGCCATCAGTATGTCCGTCTGTAATCATTGTTTGTCCGGAGCATATTTCCTAAACTGTACAACCTAGCTTCACAAAACTTGATACACTTACCAATCAGGCTCAGTAGTAGTGCCTTTTGCTATTTAGAGATGTTTAGAATTTTTTATTTTTGTCGTTTCCATGGAAATATGATGAAATTAGGAAATTTGAGGGTAGTGCTCTTGTCCGGAGCATATTTCCTAAACCGTACAACCTAGCTTCCCAAAACTTGGTACTCTTAACAATCAGGCTCAGTAGAAGTGCCTTTTGCTATTTAGAGATTTTTAGAATTTGTTATTTTTGTCGTTTCCATGGAAATATGATGAACTTAGGAAATTTGAGGGTAGTGCTCTTGTCCGGACCATATCTCCCGAACCATACAACTTAGCTTCTCAAAAGTTTTTACGCCTATCAAGCAGGTTATGTAGTGGTGCCTTTGCTATTAACAGATTTTTTCCCTTTTATTCTTTTTTTAATTTAAATTGAAAATTGATGAACTTAGGGTAATGTCCTCAGTAGTGCAGTTTGTTATTTATAGATTTATATCTTTTTGATTTGTAGCCCCTGACATTTGAGATCATCAGAAAGTGAGCTACATGAATCAATATTTAATAACCTTCAGTATATTTCTGGTTTTGGCATCAAGGAAAAAGATTTCCTTACCAATCTAAATATATTTGAAGGTACACACAGTTTACCGACATGCCACGTCGGGGGGGTATGTCATCTTCAGATGACTCTTGTTTTATTTCTCTCAACTGAAGGTATCCAATGGCAATGAGCCCAAAGTGGGTTATTAGTAGCCAAATTCCATTTCAAAATAGTAACAGATGAGGGTGATATGTCATCTCCCGATGACTTCTGTTATTATTTCAGCCATTGTTAAAGTTTGCTATATTTCTTTGTTTTTCATGCAGCGAGCTGTCCAGAAATCCAGGAGACGTCAGAAGGAGGAGCAGAAGCAAATGAACAAGAAGCAGAGGAAGACGGAACAGAAGCGGAAGGAGAAAGTATGTTGTGTGCCCGAACACTATTGAGCAGAACACGACTGGGCTACCAATAAACAGTAGGCAGCTTGTGAAAGTCCTTGGGATGAGGGGAGCACGGGTGGCCCAGTCGAGTAAGGTGCCATGATTCTCTGTGCAGAGTTGCTTCCCTTGGGCGTGTCGGAAACCTATGATTGTGGATTCGAATCCCGGTTCGCCCAGATTATGTTTCTGGGTTTGTCAGCACCATACCCGTGCTCGTGGGTTTCACCAAAGTGGTAAACGTCTGAGACCTGCATCACTTCGGGCTTTCCTCCCACATTAAGCTGACACGCCGTGATATAACTGGAATACTTTTAAAAGTGGCGTTAAACCCAATTTACTCACTCACTCACTCCTTGGGATGAGTGAGTTGGTGTATAGCCAAGCAGTTTAACATGTTTAAGGGACGACGCTTCTCAGCGTATGTCGTATGTCTTACAGTACTGTTATACAGACTGAGAGTAACCATGTAAATATGATTATTACACATTGGACGTTTTTCCTAAGCTTGTGACAACTTTTGTTGCAATTTTTCATTATTTGTCCATAATGGTTTGATGTTGGAAAGTCTTTTTGAAAGGTAGGGAATATTGTTCTATGCCACAGAAAGCAATATTCTAGCTGTCGTGGACCGTGTGTTCTGTGCCAGATAAACTAGTGATTGACTGCATGAGCAACAATGCATGCTGGTTCACACGTTACTACTTGATCCCTGTTCAGGGTTTGCAAAGGTCCTGGAAAATCTGGAATTTTGACTGTCGTCTTAAAAAAAAGTTTGATTTTACTAAGGGGTCTTGAAAATGGCACAAGGTTCTTTAATTATGTTAACTAAAGCCGTACACTGTAGAAATGCATTTAATTAAATATATACTAAGTTCTGTTTCACAGGGAAAATTTACTCATGGAGACTTTTACAAGTACAACATCCAAAAACAGATGTAAACCGTAATTTGATTGGTCAACGCTTGTGTATTCCAGGGAATACCATTTCTGCAGCCAATCAAATTTATGCTTTGTCTGACTGCAGCTATTTTATATTGCATTCATTGGCTGAAGTGTCAGAATACCTGGTTGTAATTAAGTTTATGTTATGCATATTTTACACAAAAGATAAACTCTTATTGATGAATGTTGATATTTGATGTAAAAAACACAAGGGTGAGATTCTATTTATTGTCAAATCATTCTTCCAACTTTCTCACTCTTTAAACAATAATAACCAGTGTCTTGAGTGTAAAAAGCACAGCTAACCTTGATTTGATAGGCATTTAGAAGTTGGAGTACTAAGTAAGGATAAGATAAATGGATGAATAACTTCTTTATTACAATTAGGAGTGACGTTTCAGTGTAGGTTCTGACATTGTAATTTGCCTTAGTGGCAGTGTATGTACAACCAAGTTTGCCTCTTTCCTTTTGTAGGAACTTCAGGCAATCCGAGACCAGCTTCTGAGGACTCTAGATGAGAAAAAGGAAAAAAAGAAGAAAAGACAAGATTCAGAGACCCCACACCACAAACCCAGCAGTGAACCAGTCCACTTAATGTCCAGGTGATTGGCACAACTTCCACCTCCATGATAAAAGCCTATCATTTTAACATGAAAGAATTTGCAAGATCATATTGTGACAATTTGAACAATACTGGCTTGTTTACTTGTGTGAGATAAAGTCAAAATAAAGAATAAATAAACTTGTATCAAGAGTAGCAAAGTACTGTAGAAAAGTATCAGTATGATCAATAGATTAGTATGCTTTGACCTTATTCTGTCTCAGGCTTATTTTCTTATCTCTACTTATTCCTGAGATGGGGCGGTCGGGTAGCCTAGTGGTTAAAGCGTTCGCTCGTCACACCGAAGACCCGGGCTCGATTCCCAACATGGGTACAATGTGTGAAGCCCATTTCTGGTGTCCCCCGCCTTGATATTGCTGGAATATTGCTAAAAGCGGTGTAAAACCATACTCACTCACTCACTATTCCTGCGATGTAGTGGAAACTTATAGCGCAGTGTTCCCAATGAACAGAACACATCTCACCCAAACTCACGGCCTCCAACCCCAATGCAACTTACCAACTCCAATTGGTCTGATAGCTAACTCCCACTGGTCTGATAGCTAACTCCCACTGGCCTGATAGCTAACTCCCACTGGTCTGATTGCTAACTCCAACTGGTCTGATAGCTCACTCCCACTGGTCTGATAGCTAACTCCCACTGGTCTGATGGCTCACTCCTACTGGTCTGATGGCTGACACCCTCTGGTCTAATAGTTCACTCCTACTGGTCTGATGGCTCACTCCTACTGGTCTGATGGCTGACACCCTCTTGTCTGATAGTTCACTCCCACTGGTCTGATGGCTAACTCCCACTGGTCTGATAGCTAACTCCCACTGGTCTGATGGCTGACACCCTCTGGTCTGATAGCTCACTCCCACTGGTCTGATGGCTAACTCCCACTGGTCTGATAGCTCACTCCCACTGGTCTGATGGCTCACTCCCTCTGGTCTGATGGCTAACTCCCACTGGTCTGATAGCTAACTCCCACTGGTCTGATAGCTCACTCCCACTGGTTTGATGGCTCACTCCTACTGGTCTGATGGCTGACTCCCTCTGGTCTGATTGCTAACTCCCACTGGTCTGATAGCTCACTCCCACTGGTCTGATAGCTAACTCCCACTGGTCTGATAGCTAACTCCCACTGGTATGATGGCTAACTCCCACTGGTCTGATAGCTAACTCCCACTGGTCTGATAGCTCACTCCCACTGGTTTGATGGCTCACTCCTACTGGTCTGATGGCTGACTCCCTCTGGTCTGATTGCTAACTCCCACTTGTCTGATAGCTCACTCCCACTGGTCTGATAGCTAACTCCCACTGGTCTGATGGCTAACTCCCTCTTGTCTGATAGCTTACTCCAAATGGTCTGATAGTTCACTCCCACTGGTCTGATGGCTCACTCCCTCTGGTCTGATGGCTAACTCCCACTGGTCTGATAGCTAACTCCCACTGGTCTGATAGCTCACTCCCACTGGTTTGATGGCTAACTCCCACTGGTCTGATAGCTCACTCCCTCTGGTCTGATGGCTCACTCCCTCTGGTCTGATAGCTCACTCCCACTGGTCTGATGGCTAACTCCCACTGGTCTGATAGCTAACTCCCACTGGTCTGATAGCTCACTCCCACTGGTTTGATGGCTCACTCCTACTGGTCTGATGGCTGACTCCCTCTGGTCTGATAGCTCACTCCCACTGGTCTGATGGCTAACTCCCACTGGTCTGATAGCTCACTCCCTCTGGTCTGATTGCTAACTCCAACTGGTCTGATAGCTCACTCCCACTGGTCTGATAGCTAACTCCCACTGGTCTGATGGCTCACTCCTACTGGTCTGATGGCTGACACCCTCTGGTCTAATAGTTCACTCCTACTGGTCTGATGGCTCACTCCTACTGGTCTGATGGCTGACACCCTCTTGTCTGATAGTTCACTCCCACTGGTCTGATGGCTAACTCCCACTGGTCTGATAGCTCACTCCCACTGGTCTGATGGCTGACACCCTCTGGTCTGATAGCTCACTCCCACTGGTCTGATGGCTAACTCCCACTGGTCTGATAGCTCACTCCCACTGGTCTGATGGCTCACTCCCTCTGGTCTGATGGCTAACTCCCACTGGTCTGATAGCTAACTCCCACTGGTCTGATAGCTCACTCCCACTGGTTTGATGGCTCACTCCTACTGGTCTGATGGCTGACTCCCTCTGGTCTGATTGCTAACTCCCACTGGTCTGATAGCTCACTCCCACTGGTCTGATAGCTAACTCCCACTGGTCTGATGGCTAACTCCCTCTGGTCTGATAGCTTACTCCCTCTGGTCTGATAGTTCACTCCCACTGGTCTGATGGCTCACTCCCTCTGGTCTGATAGCTAACTCCCACTGGTCTGATGGCTAACTCCCACTGGTCTGATAGCTCACTCCCTCTGGTCTGATTGCTAACTCCCACTGGTCTGATAGCTCACTCCCTCTGGTCTGATAGCTAACTCCCACTGGTCGGATAGTTCACTCCCACTGGTCTGATAGCTAACTCCCACTGGTCTGATAGCTCACTCCCTCTGGTCTGATAGCTCACTCCCTCTGGTCTGATAGCTAACTCCCACTGGTCTGATAGCTAACTCCCACTGGTCTGATAGCTCACTCCCTCTGGTCTGATAGCTAACTCCCACTGGTCTGATAGCTCACTCCCTCTGGTCTGATGGCTAACTCCCACTGGTCTGATAGCTCACTCCCTCTGGTCTGATGGCTAACTCCCTCTGGTCTGATGGCTAACTCCCACTGGTCTGATAGCTCATTCCCTCTGGTCTGATAGCTCACTCCCATTGGTCTGATAGCTCACTCCTACTGGTCTGATAGTTCACTCCCACTGGTCTGATAGCTGACTCCCACTGGTCTGATAGCTAACTCCCACTGGTCTGATAGCTAACTCCCACTTGTCTGATAGCTAACTCCCATTGGTCTGATAGTTCACTCCCACTGGTCTGATAGCTAACTCCCACTGGTCTGATAGCTAACTCCCACTTGTCTGATGGCTAACTCCCACTGGTCTGATAGCTAACTCCCACTGGTCTGATAGCTAACTCCCACTGGTTAGGACAGAGTACAACATGATCAGTGGGGTCTAGGGTGGGGATCCAGGGGATCCCGCGCCTACTGTTGAAGAGGAGCTCTTGAACGACTGGGACCTTCAAGTACAGCAATCTACCGTAGGTGGAAGACTGGCGAGATACTGGACAAACTGTGGACATTCTGGTGTTTTGGGAATAAGAAGGGATAATCATATTAGCATGAGTCAGGATAAGTATAAATGACATTTTTATGATACAAAAATCCTTTTGTGTTTGTTCACACCATGTGATTGTGCTGCGTTTTGTCCTCAGAGCCACAAAGAGTCCAGAAAGACTTGAAATTGAGCGGCAACTGACAGAAGCACAGAGAAAGGAGCACGAATTGCAAGAAAACTTGCGGCGTCTCGAAGCTCAGGAACATAAGCAAGAGAAGAAACTACGCAAATTGGAAAAGAAGAAAGCGGTCAGTTTGCATATTGCCCCATTAGTCTCCTCGTGTGAACAGAGATGTCTGCCATTGTGATACTTTGTACTTACTATTTTCCTTCTACAGAAAAAACAACAGAACACAACACAAAGTGCTCCATCGCTGCCATCAGAACAGAGAAACTTTCCTCACCAGACTTTCAACAACACAGATTTCATGGCAAGCAAGTACGACCAGAAAAATCTAACCAGCTCATTTGATCACAAGCGTATGTCGAAGGAGGAGCGGGACAAAGGCCTGGCAGACTTGATGGACCAAGTAAGGAGGAAGCAGAGAAGCTCTGAGGATGGAGGCAGTGATGTCACGGGGAAAATGTCCGATGCTGCTGATGCTGTTTATGCAGGCCAGGAGAGGGTAGGGTTCAGTCAGCCTTTTCATCATGATCATCGGCTTGATGTCCGTGTCTGTCCTAGCAGAATAGGTTCCGAGTACCTCATGCTTGACACCTTGTTAACAATACCTGGCAGAATAGGTTACCAGTACCTCATGCTTGACACCTTGTTAACAATACCTGGCAGAATAGGTTCCCAGTACCTCATGCTTGACTCCTTGTTAACAATACCTGGCAGAATAGGGTCACATTACCTCATGCTTGACTCCTTTGTGGCTTGACTCCTTGCTGACAATACCTGGCAGAATAGGTTCCCAGTACCTCATGCTTGACTCCTTGTTGACAATACCTGGCAGAATAGGTTCCCAGTACCTCATGCTTGACTCCTTGTTGACAATACCTGGCAGAATAGGTTCCCAGTACCTCATGCTTGACACCTTGTTGACAATACCTGGCAGAATAGGTTCCCAGTACCTCATGCTTGACTCCTTGTTGACAATACCTGGCAGAATAGGTTCCCAGTACCTCATGCTTGACTCCTTGTTGACAATACCTGGCAGAATAGGTTCCCAGTACCTCATGCTTGACTCCTTGTTGACAATACCTGGCAGAATAGGTTCCCAGTACCTCATGCTTGACACCTTGCTGACAATACCTGGCAGAATAGGTTCCCAGTACCTCATGCTTGACTTCTAGTTGATAAAACCTGGCAGAATAGGTTCCCACTACCTCATGCTTGACTCCTTCATAATACCTCATAGTCATGTTGCTACTGGTTGATGTTATCTTGTAAGTTGCTTTAGGAGAACTGTCAATATGTAATGGAAACATTCCATAGTTTTATGATGAACTCAAATTTTCCAGAACATATGCTCCTACTGAAATTATCATAATTCTTTTCCAGAAAACTTCTGTTACTGCGAGACAGAATGATACACCAACATCCGCCAGTACATGCACCACACCAACTTCTGGGATCATGGCTGCAACCTCGCTGCTCGACCAGCATCTGGAGGCCTACCACGAGCTGATGAAGCTGCAGCCGAGACGGCACACGGAGCAGCAACTCCGCGAGGAGAGACTGCGCATCAGGGATGCTCAACTCAGATCACATCAATCGGAGCTTGAGCGACTCCGTAGAAAACCCAGCAATGATGTGAGTAACCATGGTTACTGACAAAGTGTTGTCGACAATGATGCATGTTGGATGCTGGCCATGTGTAATGTAAATTGACTTAGAAAAGACAGGTCACATTTGATAACCATCCATGTGTCAGTATTACAGTGGGTGGTCACATGACCTATCTGGGCACTCACCTGGTGCCAGTTTGCAGAACACTTGACTATGTAATTGTGAGATCACTCAAATCTGTTGATTCTGAAAATAGAATAAAAAAACTCTGAAGGGGCTACCGTATTTTCTTGAGTATAGTGCACACTTTTAAAAAAACAAACACAGCTGTGTAGAAGGGGGTGCGCATTATACACGCAAAAATAAGTTTTGATGGTTTATCTTCTCTCCCCCCCCGCCCCTATGGAAAGACATTACCGTGAGCATGTAACACCGGAAATACCATGTCAACAAATCCATAATGAAGTAAGCAAATTAATCATGTAATTACATTACCTGGACTTATGTTCGTAAGTTATTTCATAAATTTTATTGAAAATTCCTTTTAATATTGTTTTAATTAATTTCGGTGAAATCGTGTGTGAAACTATCAGGAGATCGCACAGCTCACTGTTATTAACAGCAACCACGGTCAGATTACCGCTATTGACGCCTTGAAACGAACTTTAGTTGACAGAGAATGGATACATATATCATAAATGCCATACTTTGACTCGTTAAAAGTCATACTTGTTATAGTTTGACGATTCTATATCCATACGTAGTTCTCGGGATCACGTGAGCGGGAGCCTTGACGGTGACTGGTCAAACTGGTTCCATGTGAAAAATAATAACCGGTAATACCGATCAGCTGCTTCGCTTAGGGTTATAATTATTTTAAATATATCTAGTAAAAGCTGCAACTAAAATAACAAGATGCTGGAATATATTATTCCTGATAAAAAAAATATAGTTTCAGATACAATTTTTGCCGATCCTTGCATTAAAATCCTGTAATGTTATATCATTGGGTGTGTCTTGACCGAATCACCGGTAGATTCCAAGAAAACGTGTGTACAGCTGATTGCTGTTTCCAGCTTAGTTTACAAGAAAATACACAAGGTTATTTTAATCCCTGGATGTAAAACCATGCCTAGCAGAACAAAAAATACAATTTAAACGGTAAATCAACATGTCTGGTGATTTTTTTATCTCTAATTTCAAATTTGTACTGACTAAGTTTGTCATCACCCATTCGTTTACCGGAATTCGCTGAAGGGGTATGGTGTAATTTTTTTCTACACATAATATTCGATTATTTTTTTCTCCAAAATACTGACTCCGCCAAAGGGGGGTGCACACTATACTCAAGAAAATACGGTATTTGATTTTACTTCCAGAATCAACAGTCGAGTGATTTCTCTTATTTCAACCATGGGGGGTTGATCAATGTACCACTCAAAGCAAGTTAAAGAACATCACATTTGGAAGGGGGGTGTATTGCAATACCCACCAACTATGACCGATTAACTATTATCCTATTTTCATATAAAAAATCAGGTGCTCTTTAACTTTAACTAGTATGTAATTTCTCAATAATTTTGAATCATCACTTGCAGTTGTGTCACTTTTACTTGTTTAGAAGGCAGGTTCAGAATGGTCAGTGTATCAACTGCAAGAACAAAAGCATGATGTCATCGTATTGGTTTCATGATGGAAATTGTCCAATTTTACATTTTTAAGTCCACCAAATCTGTCAATATTGATCAGGTCAGAGGTCACATAATAATAGCTCGTCCTTGACTGGTTTCCAGATGAAAACTTGAACATGTCTTAATTGACTTAAACGAATATGATTCGTAGACAAATCATCCGTAATGCAGGTCAGATTCAATAATAGGGTTAGTCAGTCAGTACTGGCAAGATGTAAGGCTGCAGACCGCCTCCGTGGTCTAGTGGTAGAGCTTCCGCCCGGAGAGCGGAAGGTCCGAGTTCGATCCCCGACCGCGTCATACCAAAAGACGTAAAAAGATGGTACTTGTTGTTACCCTGTCTGGCGCTTGGCATTAAGGGGCTGAAACAAGAACTGGTCGGCTCGGAGTCAGTATACTGTATCTGAGTGGGATATTCATGTTAAACTGCGGCATGGTATCTCATTGAGCTAGCACTATAAATCGGCATCAGTCCAGACTAGTACAAGCAGCCACACAAACACACACACGTACATGCACGTCGCTATATAAGTGCAATAATCTTGGACGAGACATTAAACCCCATTTCACCTCACCTATAAGGCTGCATGCATTCCACATTATATCAACAAATGTGTGATAGTGAACTTAGATCAAATTCATCTCTATGTCAGACTGCTGTTCTAGGGTGTATTTCCGCCTGTTGTTCAGTTATCCCAAGATGACCTGTACATGAAGCGAGACGAACTGCTGCGGAAGCAAAGAGAAAAAGAACGTCTGAGAAACGAAGAAGAGGCATTTGAACTGAAGAAAGAGGTGTAAGTATTTGTAACTCGTTGTGAGCTGTACCTGTGAAGATGTGGGTTAGAATAGGTCTTCAGTGACCCATGCTTGCCATAAAAGGCAACTAACGGGATCGGGTGGTCAGACTCGCTGACTTGGTTGATGCACGTCATCGTATGTCATGCAATTGCGTAGATGAATGCTCATGATGCCAATCACTGGATTGTCTGGTCCAGACAATCATTGTGTTCTGATCATGGTCGAAGATGCATCCGGATTATGATTCTTGGTTTATCAGCACCAGACCCGTGTTCGTGGGTTTTACTGTAGTGTAAATACACTGTAAATGTCTGAGACCTGCGTCATTTCAGGGTTTCCTCCAACATTAAACTGATGCATGGTCATATAACTGGAGTACTGTTCTAGGTCAAGTCTTTGAAAGGCCTTTAGAAGTGATACCCATGAGGAAGAGAATTTATGGAAGTCAAATTCTTTATCATGAGGAACACAACGTTTTGGAGTATATACTTACTCCTTTATCAGGTGAATGAATGAGAGAGGGCAGAGAGCATATATATATATATGTGTGTACTCTTAAGAACAACAAAAGTAATAAGAAAACAAAAGGTGGAAACTTAACAAGGAAAGCAAACAGATAATTGGCCCTGATCAGCAATGGACAATGGATGCAAACACTTTAAAAGTGGCGTCAAAGTCTGAAAGTCAAGTGAGCTACATCTTCAACATCACCTTAGCCTGATGTGGATCTAGTAAGTTTGTTGTTTAACACTGCACTCAGCAATATTCCAGCTATATGATGGCGGTCTGTAAATAATCAAGTCTGGACCAGACATTCCAGTGATTGACATCATGAGCGTTGATCCACGCAATTGGGATACGATGACATGCATCAACCAAGTCAGCGAGCCTGACCACCGGATCTCGTTAGTCGCCTCTTACAACAAGCATAGTCACCTTTTACAGCAAGTATGGGTTGCTAAAGACCTATTCTACCCTGGATCTTCACGGGTCTGATGTGGATCTAGTTTGATGATGTACTTACATACCTTCCCCTGTCTGTCAACTCTTGAATGCATGTTATGTAATGCCATAACATAGGTGAAATATTGCTTACTGTAACCAGAGCTCCAGATAAGCTTTTGGTATTGTGGGTATTTTACCAATTCATTTTAAAATCATTGGGTATCAGTAATTCTATCTGGGTATTCAAATTTCTTTTACCCACTAGTTTTTACACATGTGGGTATTTAAGTTAAATATTTAAAAACACTATTCATCTAGGCCCTGCAAACTGGTGTCGTGTGGGTTCGAGAGCTTTATAGGACTCAAAAATACCACGATACTTCCACAAGAAAGTGTGATGGCAAATGATCATGATGTAACTGTCATCGTGGAGTTTGGCAAGGTTGACAGAATGCCCGTTTATAATTTCAAAGAAGTTGCTGATTTGCTAATCAAATACGCAGGGTTACTTCACAATATTTTGATGATACGCACAAGTTTTATTTTACTGCGTATTTCTGCATTTCTGATGCGTATTTTACGCAGATATGCAGCTTATCAGGAGCTCTGCTGTAACATAAGCTCGCGAATGATGCATGGAACAGAGAGTGTAGTGTTGCTGTGTTCTTGTGTTAGTGAGAGGCAGCGCAGCGCCCCCTCAGCCCCGGTCAGCAGGAAGTACTACGAGAGCATATCCTACCATGAGAAGCAACATAGCAAGATGGAGCCTCACACACCACACAGACAGACACCCAGGCGGACATCGAGAACACCCCCTCTCATCACGACTTTTGACAACCCCATCAAGAGAGGTGACTGCCATAGTTCAGGCCATTGTAGGGCTATGTCGTCTTCTGTTCTATTATCCAAAAGATGATAGTGGGTTTAAATCCTGGTCCGATAATATTACTAGCTTTGTCAGCAGCATACCCATGCTTGTGGATTTCACCAAAGGGGTAAACATCTGAGACCTGCATCACTTTGGGCTTTCCTCCCACATCAAACTGACACATTGTGACATGACTAGAATACTGTTCAAAGCGGTGTTGACCAAACGCATACAGTCCAATACTTAGCATGCTGAATATGCAACTACCTTTGTTAACATCCATACAGGAGAGACTGCCTCCGTGGTCAAGTGGTAGAGCATCAGCCCCTAGAGAGGAAGGTCCTGGGTTCGGTCCCCAGCCGCGTCATACCAAAAGACGTTGAAAAGATGGTACTTTTTGTTACCCTGTCTGGCGCTTGGCATTAAGGGGCTAAAACAAGGACTGAGTCAGTATACTGTGTCTTGGTGGGGTATTCGTGTTAGACTGCGACATGGTATCTCTAGGCTGGCACTATAAATCGGCATCAGTCTGCACTAGTACAAGCAGCCAGACACACGTGCATGCACGTCGCTATATAAGTGCAATAATCTTGGACGCGATGTTAAACACAATTTCACCTCGCCTCCATGCAGGAGTCAAGGGTAGCCCAGTTGTCTATTGTCTTAACTGTTATTTATAGCAACATATCCCTTGTCTGGTTGGCTTCCTCCACAATAAACTGTTATTGATGTTTTTAGAAATTCCCAACCGGCAGAGTACGTGGAGTCGTGTGGTGACCAGTGAGACGCCATGGGGAGAAAGGACTCGGAAGCAGATTGAGCTGAAGACAATGCTGCCGAGCAACATGGACGAAGAGGAGGAGATGCTGCAACAGGCGCTGTCCCTCAGCATGCAAACGGCCGAACTGGACATGCAGCAGAGAAAGTAGGTGTCAAGTTTGTGAAGTTCAGATAGATCAGGTGCTGAAACCTACCAACTAACAATATCATGTCATGATAACCAGAAATAAACATCACCTTAAAATAGTGAAACCCAGAAACATTCAAAACTTTAAGTACCCGGACACATAAAAATACCATTAGTAACTTTGCTGGTACCAAGAAGCCCCTTGAAGATTCAGCCTACCTTAGAATAGGTTCCCAGCAACCTATGTTGGTTGTAAGAAGTGACCACATGAATCAGGTGGTCACGCTCGGTGATTGGGTTGATTGAGTTTCACTGTACCCTGATGGCATGGATTGTTGCTGATAATGTCAGTCACTGGATTGTCTGGACTCAAGCATTTATTGGCTGCCATCATATTGCTGAGTGCAGTGTTAAACAAACTATCACCCAGAAACAAAAGCACTAAGTGTGACAGCAAGGAACATGACCTTGACACCAATCCTGGAAGGACCATGTCCTGTAGCTGTGGTAGAGTTATTCCAACAGTAACATATACAACATGTTGTAGGTGGCAGGAGCAGCTGGAACAAGCAGAAGTTGACCGGCAGATTATGGCAGCAGCCAACAGGACAACACCCAATCAGCAGACCGGCACCAGGTGGGGCAGAAACACTCGTGGGCATTCCTGGGCAGTAAAGCATGTAGACTCCCCCCTACTTGTCTTAGACAACTCGATTTGATTGAGGATATTGTAATGGCTGTTATTTCATGATGGTGCAGAACATTCCAACAATAAGACCACAGGGACACCATGTATGGGCTTCACACATGTACCCACGAGGGGGAACTGTAACCACTAGGCTACCCAAACACTTATTAACTATGAGTGAAGTGACTTGACAAATTAGGAGCAGTTTACCTGATCACATGCTTCCGGGGCGCATGCACGACTCAGAGGTGTGTTTGAGTGAGCTGTTTCTCTGTTCTCTGAGAACACTGTTCAGGAAGTTTCCACTACCTTTTCAGAAATGAGAGGAGATAAGCAATAAGTATGAGTCAGGAAAAGCATAAATGATATTTTTACTTTAATAAATACATTTTTGTACTTTATTTGTCATTCAGAATATTGGGAAATACTGAAGAGGACTTTCTTGAGTCTTGCCATGTGGAAAGCATCCATTCTAGCTAGAGTGTCTGGTCTGTTTCAGAAACCGGAGCTCCCACCAGGTGGAGCCAACTGTTTGTTCCCCGATAGCGAAGTACCCTCTCTCCGACAAGTTCTTAGTGTATCCGGGACCCTCTGTCAATCAGTCAGCCAGCAGCTTGGCAGAATTTGAAGCCCGACCGTCATGGTCTCTACCTCCAAAGCCCAAATCTGAAACAAGAAAAGTGTGTCGGCCAAAACCAGCAAGCAGGGACACCTGGTCTCTCTGCCCCGGCAGACCCTCGGATGACGACTGGAGCTGCTCCAAGTCAGCTAAAATGGAAGGTGTTGAATCTGAACTTGAGGAATATGATAACGCAGTGGAAGAAGGACACTTTCAGTTAAAAAGCCTTGTTAAGAATGGCCATGCATGTGAACCGACTTCTTTGAGTTACGAAACGTCATGCATGCAGAACAACCCTTGGACAAATACTCAGCATCATGGTGTGAACAGAAATGTGAATTCCAGTCACAAAGCTGGCCATGAGAAAAAGTCACTTGGCCAAGTTATGAACAAGCCTTTGCTTAACACTAATGACAACTCAAATAATTTCAACAGCAACACCCAAAAACATCTGAAAGCAAGAGACTCGTCAAGCCACCAGGAAACCACTGATGACTGGGATGCTGAGTGTCGATGGAAGACAGAGGGCCCGTCGTATCCACTACGCAAGTACAAGCCCAAGCCTGATTCAGGGAAGTCTTTGTCAGGTAAAAGAGTTAATGAGAATCTCTTGCCTCCCAAGCCCCTCTCTCTGATGCTAGGAAACCGTGTTCCTTGTAGTGCTGAAATTCAAGTGCAAACAGATCAACAGACTCCCAAAACCATTCCTGGATTCCTGGGGAACCCTTTGCCGTGTACAGCTGAAGTTACTGTGCAAACAGAAGATCAACAGACTCCAGTAACGATCCCTGCCTTTCTAAGAAATCCTCTGCCTTGTACTGCTGAAGTTCCTGTGCAGACTGATGGTCAACTGCAAACAGAAGCGGTTGGTGTTCACAGTATTACGATTGAGGCCGAGACAAACACAGAACCGCTTGTAGAGCCTGACCTGGTTCCAGAGAGACATGACTGTTTCACACAGACCAAAGTCTCCTCGGGTTTTGTAGGAGGGGTTTGGGACTCTGCATCCAACAATGCTGACAAGATTCCTGTTCCTAGGCCACAGACAAATTCTTTGCCTGATCAAGAGGTGTTGAAAAAAATCCCTCCAAATGGATTTTCCCACTCCCACGTGAGTAATTTCAGAGGTCAGACAAGTAACAGGGTGCCTCAGATGGCACCAGAGGATATGGGAAAACAGCCTCAGAGACAGAAGCCCGAGGACTGGGATGACAATCTGCTTGTTTCATCCTTTGCAGAAGTAAGTGTTAAGAATCATGCTGCAAAAAGAACAGAAAATAGTATCACTGTCAACACAAATCATGAAAACACCATGATTCCAAGACTGCCTGTTATAACTCCTGTGTTGAATGATAGCCCGCAGCAGAACCAGGTGACTGAAAGAATGATGACGGATGATCAGAAGCTGAGCGATCATCACTACAATGTCCAGCAAGCAGAACAAACCACTCAGCCATCAGGAAGAAATGTCAGTGGATGTGTAACTTCAGAACAATCCAGTCTACCTGGTGGCCTTCCTATCGGACTTCCTCAACATCTGATCCAGGCATATCTACAGTTTGTGACACAAAATGAAACTCAACCAATTCATCAACAAGCCTCCCCACATCCAGGTCCAGAGAAGTGTGTGCAAGATGTTGCCTCTCACAAAGCTTCCAGTGAGATGACATCCAATCCTCCGTGTAGTGCAACATCTGCAACATATGCTCTGCCAGGCAGCCCTGGCTTCATGTCTCCGATGTGGTCCCACCTGTATCCATGGATGGGCCCACTTATGGCTAACCCTGTTATGTCGCATCCAATGATGCCCTTCTGTCCTCCTCCGGTTTTTGCCTACTCGCTTCAGCAACAGATGAAGCCACAGGAGCCTGATGCTAAAGAAGTCACATCAAGCCAGCGGTCACATCAAGGGATTGCACAAAGAAGCTGTGTCAGTCAAGAGCAAGTACATGGCAGTCCTCATCGATGGAACTCGGGCTTCGGTCAACAGGATCCTGTATCCTTGAACAAATCAAGTAGCCATGAATCAGAGATATGTAAAGGTTCAGAAGGTAGTAGGTTAGATACTGAGGTTGAGAACTGCACAGCCCAGCAGACCTGTTCTGGTTTTGGACAGAAGGAGCCAACAAACAGTGTTTGTGTAGGACAACAGGAGCCGATGAACAAGGGTGGTTTTGGACAGAATGAGCCAATGAACAAGGGTGGTTTTGGACAGAAGGAACCAATGAACAAGGGTGGTTTTGGACAGAAGGAGCCAATGAACAAGGGTGGTTTTGGACAGAAGGAGCCAATGAACAAGGGTGGTTTTGGACAGAAGGAGCCAATGAACAAGGGTGGTTTTGGACAGAAGGAGCCAATGAACAAGGGTGGTTTTGGACAGGAGGGGCCAATGAACAAGGGTGGGTTTGGACAGAATGAGCCAATGAACAAGGGTTCTTTTGGACAGCAGGAGCCAATGAACAAGGGTTCTTTTGGACAGAATGAGCCAATGAACAAGGGACAAGCACAAGGGTTCTGGATGCAACAGAATCAACCCGGTTCTGAAGGCAATATGAACAACAGCAACCTGGTAGACGGTGAAATGGGGGACACCCTGACACAGTCAGATGGACCTTACAGCTCAAGGAACATGAGGGTAAGCCTTGACTTTTCTAATTCACCTGAACAAATAATACAGTCATTGCTTGTTCATCTGTCATGTAAGAACAGAATTTGTATCCATGTTACTTGAGCTACCGCTGCAACCATTGAACCATGTACTCAAGATACTGGTGACATCCCACGGATGTGTCAGCTACATCTCCTTATAAAGCCCTCCTTATAAAGCCTTCAGTACATGTCATCCTCAGAGTGGGACTGTGAATGGCAGTGGGTGACCCATGTATAGAGTTAAGGTCAAGCTCACATTGAAGTTCACACGTGAAGTATGTTGGCCATTTTCACTAAAATGCTTTTTTCTGGCAGACATTTTGAATTTTTTGGATGAAATGGTTATGGTGTTTGAATACTTGTGTAGGGACGGGTTGACAATCTTATGACAGTAACACTAGTATGTATTTAACCTACTTTCAATGAGCAAAATATGGTGAATGTTCGTGGTTACATTGAGTTCCACCTTGGGACATCATATTGGGTTACATGCTGTGTAACCCTGGAGAATGTTCTTGAAATATTTGTCACTGACATTGAAGGTCAAATTCAACCTCAAGGTCATACGCTCAAAGTTCATAATGTTAATTCAACATGATTTTACTTCAGTCAGATCAAATTTTGTTCATATCATCCAGAGTGGGGAATGGTTGTGGTAAGGTTTTCAGTGACCTTTATACGGCATTTTTAAACCCTTCGGTCGCTCAGACTTGCTGTCTTGGAAAATGCATGTCATTGTACCCCTATAGAACTGTCTATGGTTTGTCTTTCTTTTGTCTTTGTTCTGTAGTCAAACATCCCACCAAGGTTCCAGCGACAGAAGCGTTTGGAACTGAACAAGAAGATCAAGACTCTAATACAGGAAATAAACAAAGAACAGGAAGATTATAAAGAGGTGGGTTTGATTAAAACATGAATCTGACCTTTACTTCTGTACACTTTGCAGGATTTAATACTGCATACAGCATACAGCATAGACATTGGGAGAAACAACAGAACCAGTATCTGAGACAAGATAACACCCAGATAAGATCCTGGTGCTGGACAACCAGTAGTGTTCATGCATTGGTATGCATGGTGTCCAATGTCCAGCTTCTGCCATTATGCATTCATGGATATTTTTGTATATTTTTGGCAATTGTGAAATTTCCATCACCGCTTGCTTGGCAGAAAATCCGACTAAAATTAATTGCATGGTAAGACTGACTTGGTTGATTCCATGCTGTGAATGTGCAGCTTGGTTGACTGCAGGCTGCATCCCTCTCGCGTCGAATGTAGTGTGGAATGTTGTGTAAATGTAGTGTGAATGTTGAATGTTCTCGTGTTTAAAGTTGGTTTGCCTGATCCAGACTCGTCTAGGACGGTCAGTGATACAGCTGAAATATTGCGGACTGATTAAACAGTGTCTAGGACATAACACACAATTCTTCCACTGATCATTGAGCTCATACATTATTGTGCCATTACATGGCTGGCTATCTTAAGACATCCATTGATATGTGTTGTATATGATTGATGACTTTTAGGGACATTAAAGGAGTTGTCAGCAGGTTGGTTTAAACTACAGGACAGGTCAGAATCACAAGAGGGGTCTAATTGAAGGAGGTTAAAGGTGACAAGGATGAAACCAGTATGAGACTGGTGTCTTGATTCTCTGACAGTGTGACATAATGACAACACTTACAAAAGATCAAATTGAAACGGTTTCTGTTTATGCAATTATTTTTGCGTATTTCAGACAGAAATCGTCACAGAGGAGGACCGTATCTCGGCTTAGAGTGGAAAGTTACTCCCTAAACCTGCCACACCTCATCAAGACTATCACAATGTTATTTATTACCAAGGCGTATGCAGTTCTAGTCATTTCCTGTCTTCTCAGTGCATTGATATTTGATGTCTTAAAAAATGTACACAACTGAAATTATTCAGTGCTTTACCTCGTTTTTGTCCAATATTGTCATCATCAATCATATTCGTTTGACTATCAGAAGTTGTCTCAAAAAGCACAACTCGGGCCTCATGATTGTTGGTTTCATTTAGTTTGCTAATCCAGAAACACTTTGTCATCAATCTTCATGGTTTCTTAGCTTCAACTGTGAGCCATTGGCAAGTTTTTATTTTCCAAAGAGACAGTTATTTTGATTTTGAATTAGACATCTCACGTAGAAACTAAAACTGTTACTTTCCACTTTATAATTCAGTATTTTTCATGATCAAATTGAATAATAGATTTCTTTTCATAAATATACTACCAAAAAAAAGTTGAGCAACACCCAATTCTTTGATATTACCAATATGAATCATTTTGATATGTTTGATGTGAGAAACAGTTAATATTCAGAAGATGAGGTTTGAGAGATAGATATTTGACTGGTATGTTTAGTTGGTATTTCAGAAATATAACAACCCTAAGCCTCAAGTTGGAAGAACATGAAGACATGAAATTATTATAGATAACACTTTCTTCATTGTTTGTAATGACGTCTCATCAGAAGTAGCCCTGAAATGTCATTACATTAAAGAAAGTGTTATCCATTCAAGATTCATGTCTTTATAGCCAGTTGGCTGCATTTGGTTAGCTGTTGTGATACCTTTTTACTTGATGGACACACACGCTCACATCACATCGAAAGAAAAGAGACTGTCATGTTGGATGTTTTGATGTTGCAGAATGTGTCAGCCTGTCAAAAGAGTCTCTGAAATTGAACAATATGCCGGGGATATTTTTTCTGTTTTTGAAGGTTTTTTTAATATATAAGTTCTGACATGTTCTGAGGATTTCTTCTCATTTCTTTTGTTTGTTGATTATGAGGACCTCCGATACCATAGGTTCATTTCTAAAGGTGCTACTATTTCCTCACTGATGTATATTTATGTGTGCTAACTAGTCAACAAATGTGCTCACTACAGTAGTAATACTGCTTGTTATATATCTTCTTACTTTTGTAATCATTTATATGTTTGATTAAAATTGTTCTGAGAGATGTGTGTGTGGTTGTTAGGTCTGTTGAAGAGGAACCATAGATGGGTAGGGCAACCAGAGGGTGCGTAGGGCAGCCAAAGGGTGGGTAGGGCAGCCAGAGGATGCGTGGGGCAGCCAGAGGGTGGGTAGGGCAACCAGAGGGTGGGTAGGGCAACCAGAGGGTGGGTAGGGCAACCAGAGGGTGGGTAGAGCAGCCAGAGGGTGGGTAGGGCAGCCAGAGGGTGGGTAGGGCAGCAAGAGGATGTGTGGGGCAGCCAGAGGGTGGGTAGGGCAACCAGAGGGCGGGTAGAGCAGCCAGAGGGCGGGTAGGGCAACCAGAGGATGGGTAGGGCAGCCAGAGGGTGGGTAGAGCAGCCAGAGGGTGGGTAGAGCAGCCAGAGGGTGGGTAGAGCAGCCAGAGGGTGGGTAGGGCAACCAGAGGATGGGTAGGGCAGCCAGAGGGTGGGTAGGGCAGCCAGAGGGTGCGTAGAGCAGGCGGGTAGGGCAACCAGAGGATGGGTAGGGCAGCCAGAGGGCGGGTAGGGCAACCAGAGGATGGGTAGGGCAGCCAGAGGGTGGGTAGAGCAGCCAGAGGGTGGGTAGAGCAGGCGGGTAGGGCAACCAGAGGATGGGTAGGGCAGCCAGAGGGTGGGTAGAGCAGCCAGAGGGTGGGTAGAGCAGCCAGAGGGTGGGTAGAGCAGCCAGAGGGTGGGTAGAGCAGCCAGAGGGTGGGTAGGGCAGCCAGAGGGTGGGTAGAGCAGCCAGAGGGTGGGTAGGGCAACCAGAGGGTGGGTAGGGCAGCCAGAGGGTGGGTAGGGCAACCAGAGGGTGGGTAGGGCAGCCAGAGGATGTGTGGGGCAGCCAGAGGGTGGGTAGGGCAACCAGAGGGTGGGTAGGGCAGCCAGAGGGTGGGTAGGGCAGCCAGAGGATGCTTGGGGCAGCCAGAGGGTGGGTAGAGCAGCCAGAGGGTGGGTAGGGCAGCCAGAGGGTGGGTAGGGCAGCCAGAGGGTGGGTAGGGCAACCAGAGGGTGGGTAGGGCAGCCAGAGGGTGGGTAGGGCAGCCAGAGGGTGGGTAGAGCAGCCAGAGGGTGGGTAGGGCAGCCAGAGGGTGGGTAGAGCAGCCAGAGGGTGGGTAGGGCAACCAGAGGGTGCGTGGGGCAACCAGAGGGTGGGTAGGGCAACCAGAGGGTGGGTAGGGCAGCCAGAGGATGCGTGGGGCAGCCAGAGGGTGGGTAGGGCAACCAGAGGGTGGGTAGAGCAGCCAGAGGGTGGGTAGGGCAGCCAGAGGGTGGGTAGGGCAGCCAGAGGGTGGGTAGGGCAGCCAGAGGGTGGGTAGAGCAGCCAGAGGGTGGGTAGAGCAGCCAGAGGATGCTTGGGGCAGCCAGAGGGTGGGTAGGGCAGCCAGAGGATGCGTGGGGCAGCCAGAGGGTGGGTAGGGCAACCAGAGGGTGGGTAGGGCAACCAGAGGGTGGGTAGAGCAGCCAGAGGGCGGGTAGGGCAGCCAGAGGGTGGGTAGGGCAACCAGAGGGTGGGTAGAGCAGCCAGAGGGCGGGTAGGGCAGCCAGAGGGTGGGTAGGGCAGCCAGAGGATGCGTGGGGCAGCCAGAGGGTGGGTAGGGCAGCCAGAGGGTGGGTAGGGCAACCAGAGGGTGGGTAGGGCAGCCAGAGGGTGGGTAGGGCAACCAGAGGGTGGGTAGGGCAACCAGAGGGTGGGTAGAGCAGCCAGAGGGCGGGTAGGGCAGCCAGAGGGTGGGTAGGGCAGCCAGAGGGTGGGTAGGGCAGCCAGAGGATGTGTGGGGCAGCCAGAGGATGTGTGGGGCAGCCAGAGGGTGGGTAGAGCAGCCAGAGGGTGGGTAGGGCAGCCAGAGGGTGGGTAGGGCAGCCAGAGGATGCGTGGGGCAGCCAGAGGGTGGGTAGGGCAACCAGAGGGTGGGTAGAGCAGCCAGAGGGCGGGTAGGGCAGCCAGAGGGTGGGTAGGGCAGCCAGAGGATGCGTGGGGCAGCCAGAGGGTGGGTAGAGCAGCCAGAGGATGCGTGGGGCAGCCAGAGGGTGGGTAGGGCAACCAGAGTGTAGAGCAACCAGAGGGTGGGTAGGGCAACCAGAGGATGGGTAGAGCAGCCAGAGGGTGGGTATGACACAAATTGTTGATGAATGTTATTTAACACCATGCAATTTGTATCACAGCAGCCTGTCACACAAACACTGAGACTAACCACCAAATCTATTTAGTCACCTTAGACAACAAGCACATGTTGCTGGGAATTCCCTACAGGTTTGTCTGATGTGAATACGGAATACATCATCAGTTTCATCATGACATTGAACAGTTTATAACTTGTGCTCCAGAATGAACCCTGCTTATCTGAACCCAAGTCCAAATGGTTTCTTTTGAAACATGAAAGAGAAGTGACAGTTCTCCTGAAGAGCAGAATGCACCAGTTCAGCACTTACCTGATGTGCATGTTGAGGTTCACAAAGAAATATTAAACCATTCAACACCACCCTATTTGAACTGAAGTCCAATTCGCTACCTTCGCTACATACAAAAAATATAATCTAAATGATTCTTGAATACAAAATGGAGCCCATTCATGGCATGCCCTTTGTGTATCCAAAGTTTCACGAAGATGCAAGAGCCCATTTCTAAATCCCCAGCAAAATGGGGGATAAAAATTTTAGTCAGCAGACAAATAAACTTCAAATAGCCTAGGACTCTCAATTAGCCCAAGTCTAGTATCCTAATAACTTCAGTCAACAATATTCCAGCTAAACAGGCAAATTGAGACTGAAACCAGGAGAAATCACCCATCCACAAGCCTGACCGCCTAGTCCTCATTATAACACAAGCAGGGATCAGGTAGCGGTTAAAGCGTTTGCTTGTCACACCGAAGACCTGGGTTCGATTACCAACATGGGTACAATGTGTGAAGCCCATTTCTGATGTTCCGCCCGCCACGATATTGCCGAAATATTGCTAAAAGCGGCTTAAAACCATGCTCACTCACTTAACACAAGCAGGAGATTCCAGGAACCATTTCTTCCCGAAAGAGCTGTATGTTGCGAGGGGGACCAGGATTTCCTGGTTTGACTCTTTACTGTGCATTAGAAGCCCAATTTATCTAAAATGTTTTTGTAGGGTCCTGGGTTGTCAAGAAATACAAAATGTGCATATTGTTTTCAATTTGTTTATATCTGTACAATATTTACAACCTTAGAAATACACAGACAAAAGCATGATACTATTGATTATACAAACACTGTTGTGTCAAACGATCAACTTGATTAACAACCTGAAAAAATGTGTTTGTTGTTTAATGCCGCACTTGGCAATATTCCAGCTATATGACGGTGGTCTGTAATTAATCGAGTCTAGACCAAACAATCCAGTGATTGGTGTCATGAGCATCGATTCATGCAATTGGGATATGATGACATGCATCAACCAAGTCAGCAAGCCTGACCACCCAATTCCGTTAGTCGTCTCTTACAGCCTTTTACAGCAAGCATGGATTGCTTAAGATCTATTCTACTCCGGATCGAAAAGATTTGTAAAATATCTGTTGACGCCTAGTTGATACTTAGCAAATCCCGCAGTTAACCGACATGTGCACATTGAAATCTGTATGTCTAGATCGTTACATGACAATGGTGGAAACTGGACTTTCATAGTCCGTCTATGCCCTTGCCTCAGACGATGAATATAATACACATACTGCGATTTGGAAACTTATACCCAAAAGTGCTCTGCTCCTTCGCGGCACTTGAACATTTGCATTCGAGTATGCAAGGGTATGGTCGTCTGTTGAAACAAAATTTTCAGAATTGTTCTTTGAATCAGGTAGTGCTTAACTATTGCTCATGTATATATACAAACAGTTCATATTAAATTGTGTAAAAGACTTACATAGAGTAAAGTTGCATTTTTCTGATAATGAAATCCGCCAGGTTAATAAATAAATGACTCGTGAATATATAGCAATGAATTTAAATATGTCTACTGATATGTTGACTAGAATTCCAATGAATATACCACCCCGACAGCAAGACACAAAATCGGATCTGCGCTGAGTATTGAGAGTATTGGTCAATGCAGCTTCCATCATCCAGTGCAATATGAATACGTCTCCATTCTGTTATGGTAAATACCCTGGACAATTCCCCACCATAGCTGTATTGTGAGGGGTTCACATAGTTCTTTGAACACCAAGCTGAACGTTGCCTTCAAGCCAAAAATTACACTATTGCTGATTGTAAGAGTTTTAACTTGCCTTGTTAGGTACCATCTCTCATACTACAGGACATTTTGGTACTTCTCATTCTTTTCTCACGATAGCAACCTTTTCAGGCAAAAAAATAATTTATGCCAGTCTCCCGATCTGAATAAATATATCCAGGATATTCTCATTTATTAATGTTTGTCTGATTTTGAAAACTGCACTCAGCAATATGAATAATCCAGTGATTGACATTATGAGCATCGATCTGCACAATTGGGATAAGATGACATGCATTAACCAAGTCGGTGTGTCTGACCACGCGATCCCATTAGTTGCCTCTCACAAGTTTACGGCTAGCTTGGGTTGCTGCAGACCTTTTCTAACCCAGATCTTAACAGGTACATTTTTTAATGTGCATCTATGCCAACTTGCATTACGAAGAGGCTTCTTCATTGGTTGAGGATTTCAAACTCATGAGTGAAGCCTATCTGTGTTAGGTTGGTGACCAGTGAGATTGAGATGGTGATGTCACTTCTGAAATAAAGCTGTGGTGGAGAATGGGTCCAGGGTTGCTATCATAGATTGGAGATCTTACAAGGAGGGGGTCAATACCACTGTGTCAGTCTACACATAGAACTTCGTTGATGCTGTGATATGGACACATGGGGTTAGAATATGTTTGGGATAAGCCCACGTCATGGGAGATGATAGACATAACTTTTCCATATTTCTTACCAGGAATTTTTACAAAATTCTCCTTTAACATCTGGTCACATAAGAAACGTGATAAATCGGCTTCAGTGCAAGTTTGGCAAGAAAAAAGAATTTGTTGACCAATATTTAAGGCCAGAAAATTGTGAACTGGTGAAACCAATAAAAATGAAATCGGAAATCTGGGAAATTATAGATCCAGTCAGTCTTGAGATGTAAAGACGCCTTCATGGTCTAGTGGGAAAGCGGAAGGTCCGGGGTACGATACCCGGCCGCGTCATACAAAAAGACATTAAAAGATGGTACTTGTTGTTACCCTGTCTTGTACTCTGCATTAAGGGGCCAAAACAAGTCCTAAAATACATGCCTGCCCGACAGTCAGAACCAGGTCTATTTTGCTGGGGGACAGTCAGCACCAGGTCTATTTTGCTGGGGGACAGTCAGAACCAGGTCTATTTTGCTGGGGGACAGTCAGGACCAGGTCTATTTTGCTGGGTGGACAGTCAGGACCAGGTCTATTTTGCTGGGGGACAGTCAGGACCAGGTCTATTTTGCTGGGGGACAGTCAGGACCAGGTCTATTTTGCTGGGGGGACAGTCAGGACCAGGTCTATTTTGCTGGGGGACAGTCAGAACCAGGTCTATTTTGCTTGGGGACAGTTAGGACCAGGTCTATTTTGCTGGGGGACAGTCAGGACCAGGTCTATTTTGCTGGGGGACAGTCAGAACCAGGTCTATTTTGCTGGGGGACAGTTAGGACCAAGTCTATTTTGCTGGGGGACAGTCAGAACCAGGTCAATTTTGCTGGGGGACAGTCAGAACCAGGTCTATTTTGCTGGGGGACAGTCAGGACCAGGTCTATTTTGCTGGGGGACAGTCAGAACCAGGTCTATTTTGCTGGGGGACAGTCAGTTTTGAAAAGATGCATTGCAATGTTGCCAGTCCGATTTTCAAACTGAAATTTTGGGAATTTTATACACTGCTGAAGCCGATTCCATTTGCGCAATCTTACATGATCTCACTTGCTCCCAGATGCCTCGGAGAATTACAATAAAACTTCACCTTACAGGTAAGTCTCGTTTAATTTCCTTACTATGACTGGGAGATGTGGACATACAAATAGCATAAAATATTGCCATGGAACCAACATTTTTTTGTTTTCGGATAGTTAGTTTTAAAGGAGTTACACATTTCCATGACTTGTTTTCGTCTGAGTTTCATAACTAAAATATATTTGTATCCCTATCAAACCCTTGGATGAACAGTAAGATGAATGGATGGAGAACATGCCGTGCTGTTGGGGTTCTGTTATTACCCATGGCAAGAATATGATTTGATCACAGTCTTTCAATTGTCAGTATGAGGAGACAGATCCGTTGTCTGATATGGGTAGATCAACGAGGTCCTCGGTGACTACAATCTGCCGGAATCATTGTCACCTGTCATTATTTACCCCAGAGAGGTAATCTGAACCCCTCTGATTTTCCAAACTCAGCAATGTTAAGTTTCATCAGTGTGAGTGAGCGAATGTTGTTTTACGCCATAGTTAGAAATATCATGGCAGGCTGAACCTGCCAATCCAGTGACTGAAATCATGAGCAATGATTCACAATGTTTGGATACGAAGACTCTCAGTGATCCAGGTAACACCTTGTAACCTACAGATCCTCATGTCAGTCTTACAACAACAAATGTGAGCTAGAGACCATTGCAGTCCTACAGTCCTATGAGGAATTATCACCAATGAGTGTACATTTTACAAATATCCAGTGAACGCTGATTGTACGTTTTACAGCTACCTAGTCATATGAACGCTTGTTGTCGTTCAGCAGTCTACTGCGTTCATCAATGGAGGAGTAGGATTCCTCGGCCCCCTGGATGTTGCGCTGCTCGGGGCGGATGTGCTGCATCTCCTGGCTCCTCCGACAGCACGGCAGCCAGGAGAAGTCCAGCAGGTTGTTGTACAGAGCTGTGCCAATCATCAGGAACAGGAACCCATCAACTGAAATAGCAATTGTAGTCATGGACGATTGTTAAGACAAAGAACAGTGTGTCACACGTTGAACAAGATAAAGTTAATACTTCCTGGTGAAGCATCCAATGTCGTCCCCAACCAAAGAATTGCAAGATTCAAAGACATGGTCAAGCTCCTAGGCCGGTGTGGCATCCAATGTCATCCCAACCAGACAAGATACAAAGACATGGTCAAGCTCCTAGGCCGGTATGGCATCCAATGTCATCCCAACCAGACAAGATTCAAAGACATGTTCAAGCTCCTAGGCCGGTGTGGCATCCAATGTCGTCCCAACCAGACAAGATACAAAGACATGGTCAAGCTCCTAGGCCGGTATGGCATCCAATGTCATCCCAACCAGACAAGATTCAAAGACATGTTCAAGCTCCTAGGCCGGTGTGGCATCCAATGTCGTCCCAACCAGACAAGATTCAAAGACATATTCAAGCTCCTAGGCCGGTATGGCATCCAATGTCGTCCCAACCAGACAAGATTCAAAGACATATTCAAGCTCCTAGGCCGGTATGGCATCCAATGTCGTCCCAACCAGACAAGATACATAGACATGGTCAAGCTCCTAGGCCGGTATGGCATCCAATGTTGTCCCAACTAGACAAGATTCAAAGACATGGTCAAGCTCCTAGGCCGGTGTGGCATCCAATATCATACCCAACCATACACAATACAAACAACAAAACACAATCATAATGACATAATGCTCAAAGCAATTAGGAAATATTCTCTTTACCAGTGTCCCATATTCATTTATGATACATGGTGTTGAACTGTACTTTTTTGTGGGAAAGGCCACTGAAACAAAAGCTTATGTGACATGTTCTATGGTCCCAGAGTATTACCTTGCAGAAGTCCATATGACTTGTCAAATGGCTCTCCAAAGTTCTGCAATGCAGAAACAAATAGTGAAAGTTAAAAACAAACAAACAAACAAATCATGGCTTCACTCTGGACATTTTACATCATGGACACTGTGATGACTGGGTAGACTAGGTGCTAGGTGCAACGTTCCACACCATCGATGTGCAATGACATGCAATCAACCAAGTCACTGAGCCTGACCACCTGAACCATTAATGCTGGGTACCTATTCTACATAGCTGTCAACCCCTGGATGTCTAAATGAGTGAGAAGCCAGGATGCAGGGGCTGCAAGCCCCGCTGGGTCCAGGGCTAAGCCCTGGGGGGGGGGGGGGGGGGCGCAGGGGGGCGAAAACTGGTTTTGAATGATTTTAAGACCATTTTAATGGCCTTAGAGAGCATGTATTCTGAAAAAGTATATTTTTATCTACATTTTATATGAATGCGTGAGAATTTCCTAATCTTGCGTGTGAGCGTGACATAGGTGATAAATGCGTGAGACTCACGCGAGATGCATGAGAGTTGACAGGTATGATTCTAATTCAGAATCCCACCAAGGATGATAGATTGCGTGAACCATGTTGCCCATAATATCAACCACTGGTTCGTGTGGCTCAGACTCCATTGTTTAGAGGCTGCTGTGAAATATTGGAACTCTTAATGACGGTGGTGTCAGATACACCAGGGGAGCCAGAGTAACCGACCAATTCCACAGACAAACAATTGTTGCCATCTTAAATATTGAAGAATGGTTACCTTGTCGAACGCATAGAAGATGAACAGATCTACTCCCCAAACCAGCATGGTCCGACACGCATCAATCAACGTCCGATGAACAGCTGGAATATACATTTTACAGCACATTATGCACTGTACAATGTACAGCACATTACACAATGTACATGGTACAATGAGTTAGTGATTATGATTTTACACCGCTTTTAGCAATATTCCAGCAATATCACGGCGGGGACACCAGAAATGGGCTTCACACATTGTACCTATGTCGGGAATCGAACCTGGGTCTTCGGCGTGACAAGCGAACGCTTTAACCACTAGGCTACCCGACAGCCCCTGTACATGGTACAGCACACATGAGGTACATGGTGATAACTTCACTTCCGATGCTGGGCATGTGACGTATAGCATAATAACACCATTGAATACAATGTTTAAGATACATCAGATTTCAGGAAAATAGGAAATTTGGACAAAGTAACATTATTCCTAATTTGCCTCTGAATGGCATTTTCTTTGGATTCCTGGATAAATGATTAAATCTTTGCAGACTCCACTTGTCCAGGGCCTAGCGGACAAGAGGCCACGTCCACCTTGTACTGTGACATGTGCGTCATACCTAGTGACTACTCTATCAGGAATGACAATGGCATAAAAACAATCCCCTTGATCAATCAAAAACATGAATTTCAGGATTTCTGTTCTTTAACATCAGAAGGACAAGACAATGTTTACAATGGGAGAATCTTTTCAAGCAATAACAACTTCTATGCAGTATACACCTGGATTACATTACCTGTGAGAGACTTGGTGACGGACAGCCCGAAGTAGTTATAGAAAGCAATGGAAATGAGGTACAGCAGGCAGAATATCAGGAGGCGAGGGCTGTTTCCAATCTGATAGAGAGCATCCAGGCTGTTCTCATAGCTGTTGTTGACCTGCTTCCCCGGGATGAAGTACATGGCAGGGAGCACAATCTGAAACATCCAAGGTCGACCTTGTCACTCTGGTGGCCTTGTCACTCAGTAGGTCGACCTTGTCAGTCTGGAGGCCTTGTCACTCAGTAGGTCGACCTTGTCACTCTGGAGGCCTTGTCACTCAGCAGGTGGACCTTGTCACTCTGGTGGCCTGGTCACTCAGTAGGTTGACCTTGTCACTCTGGTCTGGTCACTCAGTAGGTCGACCTTGTCAGTCTGGAGGCCTTGTCACTCAGTAGGTCGACCTTGTCACTCTGGAGGCCTTGTCACTCAGCAGGTGGACCTTGTCACTCTGGTGGCCTGGTCACTCAGTAGGTGGACCTTGTCACTCTGGTCTGGTCACTCAGTAGGTGGACCTTGTCACTCTGGTGGCCTGGTCACTCAGTAGGTGGACCTTGTCAGTCTGGTGGCCTGGTCACTCAGTAGGTGGACCTTGTCACTCTGGTGGCCTGGTCACTCAGTAGGTAGACCTTGTCACTCTGGTGGCTTTGTCACCCAGTAGGTTGACCTTGTCACTCTGGTGGCCTGGTCACTCAGTAGGTGGACCTTGTCACTCTGGTGGCCTGGTCACTCAGTAGGTGGACCTTGTCAGTCTGGTGGCCCGGTCACTCAGTAGGTGGACCTTGTCACTCTGGTGGCCTGGTCACTCAGTAGGTGGACCTTGTCATTCAGGTCGCCTGTCCACTCAGTAGGTTGACCTTGTCACTCTGGTGGCCTGGTCACTCAGTAGGTTGACCTTGTCAATCTGGTGGCCTGGTCACTCAGTAGGTGGACCTTGTCACTCTGGTGGCCTGGTCACTCAGTAGGTGGACCTTGTCAGTCTGGTGGCCCGGTCACTCAGTAGGTGGACCTTGTCACTCTGGTGGCCTGGTCACTCAGTAGGTGGACCTTGTCATTCAGGTCGCCTGTCCACTCAGTAGGTTGACCTTGTCACTCTGGTGGCCTGGTCACTCAGTAGGTTCACCTTGTCACTCTGGTGGCCTGGTCACTCAGTAGGTGGACCTTGTCAGTCTGGTAGCCTGGTCACTCAGTAGGTCGACCTTGTCACTGTGGTGGCCTGGTTACTCAGTAGGTGGACCTTGTCAGTCTGGTAGCCTGGTCACTCAGTAGGTCGACCTTGTCACTCTGGTGGCCTGGTCACTCAGGAGGTCGACCTTGTCAGTCTGGTAGCCTGGTCACTCAGTAGGTCGACCTTGTCACTCTGGTGGCCTGGTCACTCAGTAGGTGGACCTTGTCACTCTGGTGGCCTGGTCACTCAGTAGGTCGACCTTGTCACTCTGGTGGCCTGGTCACTCAGTAGGTTGACCTTGTCACTCTGGTAGCCTGGTCACTCAGTAGGTGGACCTTGTCACTGTGGTGGCCTGGTCACTCAGGAGGTGGACCTTGTCACGCTGGTGGCCTGGTCACTCAGGAGGTGGACCTTGTCAGTCTGGTAGCCTGGTCACTCAGGAGGTGGACCTTGTCAGTCTGGTAGCCTGGTCACTCAGTAGGTGGACCTTGTCACGCTGGTGGCCTGGTCACTCAGGAGGTGGACCTTGTCACTCTGGTGGCCTGGTCACTCAGGAGGTGGACCTTGTCAGTCTGGTAGCCTGGTCACTCAGTAGGTGGACCTTGTCACTCTGGTGGCCTGGTCACTCTGGAGGTGGACCTTGTCACGCTGGTGGCCTGGTCACTCAGAGGGTCGACCTTGTCACTCTGGTGGCCTGGTCACTCAGGAGGTGGACCTTGTCAGTCTGGTAGCCTGGTCACTCAGTAGGTGGACCTTGTCACTCAGTAGGTCGCCCTTGCCAGTCTAGTGGCCTAGACACCAGTAAGTCGTCCTTGTAACTCAGTAGGGCGGACAGAATCCCTATCAACAGGTGAGAAGCATGGGATAGAGGGGAACTGTTCTGCCCTGGAATCTCTTTAGAAGAGAAACAGGGATCCACATTCAGGCCCCACTCTGGACAGGTCCCTGTGAAGGACCACAGGATGCTTGGGACCCAGTCTGTTAAGCACTGTGCTCAATACATGCCTTCACCAAACTCTCTGAGGCTCTAGTTCATACAGAGAAAGACAGCTTACCTCATAAAGTTCAGAAACAGAGACATTTGTTTTTACTCTTGGTAATGTTGTTTAACAAGTTGTCAATGAACGCATTAATTTCCTACTCACAAACATCATCAACAGCAGGCCAAACGTCCCCTCCATACCAACAACCTGAAACACAGAGGTCAGCATGGAAGAGCACAGAATATCTAGCCTTGTCCGGAAGTGTGACAGGGTCTCGGGTAGTGAGGTGGGGTGTTTGGTACTGAGGCAGGATGTTTGGTAATGAGGCAGGTTGTTTGGTAATAAGGAGGGGTGTTTGGTGGTGAGGCAGGTTGTTTGGTAATGAGATGGGGTGTTTGGTAATGAGGAGGGGTGTTTGGTAGTGAGGTGGAGGTTTGGTAATGAGGGGGGGTGTTTTGTAGTGAGGAGGGGTGTTTGGTAATGAGGAGGGGTGTTTGGTAATGAGGAGGGGTGTTTGGTGGTGAGGCAGGTTCTTTGGTAATGAGGAGGGGTGTTTGGTAATGAGGAGGGGTGTTTGGTAGTGAGGTGGAGGTTTGGTAATCAGGAGGGGTGTTTGGTAGTGAGGCAGGTTGTTTGGTAGTGAGGCAGGTTGTTTGGTAGTGAGGCAGGTTGTTTGGTAGTGAGGTGGGGGTTTTTTGTAATGAAGTGGGGTGTTTGGTAGTGAGGTGGGGTGTTTGGTAGTGAGCTGGGGTGTTTGGTGGTGAGACTGGGGTGTTTGGTAGTGAGGAGGGGTGTTTTGTATTGAGGTGGGGTGTTTGGTAATGAGGAGCGGTGTTTGGTAGTGAGGCTGGGTGTTTGGTAATTAGGAGGGGTGTTTGGTAGTGAGGTGGGGATTTTGGTAATAAGGTGGGGTGTTTGGTAGTGAGGCAGGTTGTTTGGTAGTGAGGTGGGGTGTTTGGTAATGAGGAGGGGTGTTTGGTAGTGAGTTGGGGTGTTTGGTAATGAGGCAGGTTGTTTGGTAGTGAGGTGGGGTGTTTGGTGGTGAGGAGGGGTGTTTGGTAGTGAGGTGGGGAGTTTGGTAATGAGGTGGGGTGTTTGGTGGTGAGGTGGGGTGTTTGGTAGTGAGGTGAAATTTTGGTAATGAAGTGGGGTGTTTGGTAGTGAGACTGGGGTGTTTGGTAGTGAGCTGGGGTGTTTGGTGGAAAGACTGGGGTGTTTGGTAGTGAGGAGAGGTGTTTTGTAGTGAGGTGGGGTGTTTGGTAATGAGGGGTGTTTGGTAGTGAGGCTGGGTGTTTGGTAATTAGGAGGGGTGTTTGGTAGTGAGGTGGGGAGTTTGGTAATAAGGTGGGGTGTTTGGTAGTGAGGCAGGTTGTTTGGTAGTGAGGTGGGGTGTTTGGTAGTGAGGAGGGGTGTTTGGTAGTGAGGTGGAGGTTTGGTAATGAGGAGGGGTGTTTGGTAGTGAGACTGAGGTGTTTGGTAGTGAGGCAGGGTGTTTGATAATGATGCGGGTGCTTATTAGTCAGGTGGGGTGTTTGGTAGTGAGGTGGGTGTGCGTGATTGTGAGGTGGGGTGTTTGGTAGTGAGGTGGGGTGTTTGGTAGTGATGCGGGTGCTTGATATAGATGTGGGGTGTTTGGTAGTGAGGTAGGGTGTTTGGTAGTGAGGTGGGAAGTTTGGTAGTGAGGTAGGGTGTTTGGTAGTGAGATGGGATGTTTGGTAGTGAGGTGGGGTCTTTGGTAGTGAGGTGGGGTGTTTGGTAGTGAGGAGGGGTGTTTGGTAGCGGCATGAGGTGTTTGGTTGTTGGTTGGTTGGTTGGTTTGTTGTTTAACGCCGCACTCAGCAATATTCCAGCTTTATGACGGCGGTCTGTAAATAATCGAGTCTGGACCAGACAATCCAGTGATTATTATCATGAGCATCGATCCATCGAGGATAGATGACATGCATTAACCAAGTCAGCGAGCCTGACCACCCGATCCCGTTAGTCGCCTTTTACGACAAGCATAGTCACCCTTTACGGCAAGCATGTGTGAGGTGTTTGGTAGTGAGGTGGAGTGTTTTGTAGTGAGGTAGGGTGTTTGGTAGTGAGGTGGAGTGTTTGGTAGTGAGGTGGGGTGTTTGGTAGTGAGGTGGGGTGTTTGGTAGAGAGGTGAGGTGGGGTGTTTGGTAGAGAGGTGGGGTGTTTTGTAGTGAGGTGAGGTGGGGTGTTTGGTAGAGAGGTGGAGTGTTTTGTAGTGAGGTGAGGTGGGGTGTTTGGTAGAGAGGTGGGGTGTTTGGTAGCGAGGTGAGGTGGGGTGTTTGGTGAGGTGAGGTGAAATGGGGTTAAACATCAAGTTTAAGATGTGTGTGTGCCTCTGTGCCTGCTCATGTGTGTGGCTGCTTTTACTAGTCCGGGCTAATACCAAGTTTATAGTGCTAGCCCTCTGAGATACCATGCCACAGTTTAACATGAGTTCCCCACTCATAATTTAATATGGCATAACACCGACTTGGTATTTCTAGGCCACAAAGGATGATAGATAAGGAAAAATTATCTAAAAATTGAGATGTTATGAATTATTTCAAAATTAATTTCGAAATTGTATATTGATAGTATATACAGTGACATACCTGCAAAGGAGGAAAATTTCTTTTTTTCAAAAACAGTTCTTCAATAATCATCTGGCTGGCACTGACAATCTGACTGGAGATGATCAGGACGATACCTGGAAGAGACATCGCATCAGTGAGGTCCTCTACACCGAGATGGGCAATATCTACTCGCTCTACACCTAGATAAGCAATATCTACTCACTCTACACCGAGATGGGCAATATCTACTCACTCTACACCGAGATGGGCAATATCTACTCATTCTACACCTAGACGAGCAATATCTACTCACTCTACACCTAGACGAGCAATATCTACTCACTCTACACCGAGATGGGCAATATCTACTCACTCTACACCGAGATGGGCAATATCTACTCACTCTACACCGAGATGGGCAATATCTACTCACTCTACACCGAGATGGGCAATATCTACTCATTCTACACCTAGACGAGCAATATCTACTCACTCTACACCTAGACGAGCAATATCTACTCACTCTACACCTAGACGAGCAATATCTACTCACTCTACACCTAGACGGGCAATATCTACTCACTCTACACCGAGATGGGCAATATCTACTCACTCTACACCGAGATGGGCAATATCTACTAACTCTACACCTAGACGAGCAATATCTACTCACTCTACACCTAGACGAGCAATATCTACTCACTCTACACCTAGACGGGCAATATCTACTCACTCTACACCGAGACGGGCAATATCTAATCACTCTACACCGAGATGGGCAATATCTACTCACTCTTCACCGAGATGGGCAATATCTAATCACTCTACACCGAGATGGGCAATATCTACTCACTCTACACCTAGACGAGCAATATCTACTCACTCTACACCGAGATGGGCAATATCTACTCACTCTACACCGAGATGGGCAATATCTACTCACTCTAAACCGAGATGGGCAATATCTACTCACTCTACACCAAGACGAGCAATATCTACTCACTCTACACCGAGACGAGCAATATCTACTCACTCTACACCGAGATGGGCAATATCTACTCACTCTACACCGAGATGGGCAATATCTACTCACTTTACACCGAAACGAACAATATCTACTCACTCTACACCTAGATGAGCAATATCTACTCACTCTACCCCAAGACGGGCAATATCTACTCACTCTACACCTAGATGGGCAATATCTACTCATTCTACGCCTAGAAGGCAACACAGGACATTGTTACGATTTTGATCCGATACAGCAGAATCTGTCGCGACATAGTTACAACTGTAATCAGACTAGACAAAATCTGCTGAGTTTCCCGAATGTAACGGGACGCACTATACTGTCAGGAGTGCTTGGCCGACCTCTCTGGACCTTTCATGATCCGTTGGACTGTGTTACGGACGTGTACAACTGCATTCAGACAATGATAGGACATTCCAGATTATTAAGGATAGTAATCCGACTTTTTCACTTTTCGTGTCGTAGCGCTGTCTGATCTCAAACAGGAGCGATAATTGGCACTGTGTGAGCCTCAGCACAATTAGCACGAACTCTAAAGGCTAAATACACCTTTCAGCTTCCTGAGCTTGTTGCTTTAAAAAGATTAGTTTGTTTGTTGTTTAACGCCCACTGCGCAATATTTCAGCTATAAGACTGTGGTCTGTACAAAAATTAAGTCTGGACCAGACAATCTAGTGACTGATATCATAAGCATCGATCTTCACAATTGGGATACGATATATGCATCAACTAAGTCAGCGAGCCTGACCACCCGAGCCCGTTACTCGCCTCTTACAACAAGCATGGGCAGCTGAAGACCAATGCTAACCGGGATCTTCTCGAGTCACTTTAAAAAAACAAACAATTTTCAAAATTTGAAATGCTTGTCAAACTATTTTGTTTCTATTTCATCCCTCCACTGTTCCAGAAAACAAGCTGAAGCTGATAGGAAGATTATAGAAGATGTGTCAAGCCTAAAGCCTGCAGGGATCATCTGTCCTTGTGAGCTAAAATACCATGGCCAACCCTGACCAGAATATGGCCCTAATCCAATCTCATTAAAATCAGATCTTAGTTCTCGCTACCGCTAAATAAAGATCTGAGGACATCCCATTAGGGTTCACGTCAGTACGACCTTTCATCCGACCAATCAGAGCGTCGCTTACCAGATCATGAAAGTGACAGTCGGAATGTGATTTCTTATCATGCAGCTTTGAAAACATTAAAACGGGGTATTCCTAACGATAGTTACGGGCTTAACAACTGGGTCTATACAATCTAGACCATATATTAGCCATTTGAGAATGTTCTTTTGTTCAGGTTTCAAATTTTTAAGCAGGAATTTGTCAAAATATATTTCGAAGCGTAGTCGACAATTTGAAATAAGTGCCATAAAGCACGAGAAAGCTGCCTTCTGATTGGCTAATATCAACTTCTTGTCAGTAATTCCATTGGTTGGTCAGAGATCGCGAAAGGTCGGTCTGACATGACCCGTAATGGGATGTCCTCAGATCTTTGTTTAGCGGCAGCGAGAACTAAGATCTGACTTTAATGAGATTGGCCCGAATCTCAACTGGGCTGTTTCCCTACCAAGCACTGTGTTGGATCCAGATGTTCCGGCCTGACTTTTGAAGACGCTGGAACACCCCACCAGCACCAGACCGAACATCGTCACAATTATCCCCGACCAGTGGATACACGTCAGTTTTCTTTTCAAAAATATTTTCTGCAACATGCCATTAACATAAAAATATTATTCAATAAATAAAAATCTCAAAACCTGTTTGACATATGTCAACACTCGGTCAGAGTGAGTTAGTCAGTTGGCTTTCTTATGCTGAACGTCTTTTAAAGATGTATCCATGATAACACACCAGTCTGTTATCAAAATCTTTGAAATATAAAATCATCAGCATAAACAGTTTTTCTGAACCATCTTTTTCTCTTATGTATATCAATCCTAACTAATTCCAGTGCTGACAAACATAACAAGCGAGAAGTACTCACGTCCCCCACCAATATGACATGTCCGGTTGTATGCAAGGCAAGAAATATTGTACGGTTTTCAAGATCTGCTCCGGAAACGAGCACTACTGCCATTTTGACTCTAAGTGAGTCGTTGCCATGGAAACTCAAAAAATATATTTCTAAAAAATTCAAAACTATCAAAAGGCACCAGTTCACAACTAGACCTATCTATGTGCCAAGTTTGGTGAAGAAATATCATACGGTTTTCAAGATCTGCTCGGGAAACAAGGACTCTCGCCATTTTCAGTTCACCATTACACCAATGTGCCAAGTCTGCTTAAAATATCTTTTTCATGTTTTTTTAGTTCTGCTCCGGAAACGAAACATGAAAGACGGACGGACAGCACCCATTCCCATATTCCCCTTCCACTTCCTGGCGGGGAATAATAATCGAGAAATAAATATGGGAAGGCAGGTTAAAAACACAAAAAATTATTGTTGTTCTCTACTACATCTATTTACTTTTACTTCAGTTTACCTATACTGACAAGAAAATCAATTTCTCGGGATTTATTTTCTAAAAAAGTAATATCTATTCTTATTTCAACCAATCTGATGTGTTTTGGAAACTGTAAACCAAGTAATCAAGAGGCATACCACTCCTGCCCCTACACATGGCTGTTACCATGGCGACCAGGGATGATGACTAGACAAGATGGGCGTACCGACAGAATCCCTGCAAATATGATGATGGATCCTCGGAGCATCTGCCAGACTGACGCATCGACATACAGAAGGCCGATCCCTGCAACACAACTGTCTCTGTTAAAGCCTGAAGCTGCAAGGTCCAAACTGGCCTTGGTTTCTAAAGCCTCTTATAAAAACATGACTGACTTAAAGCTCTTTTCATAAAGACAAGTTCCATGGCAGTATGTACATTGTATCACTTTATAAAGAAGCAACATATATTTTCTCAATTTATTCTATTTCATTTTCTATTCGATGAGGTTGGCAAGCATTAAAGTGTTCACAGTGTTTGTTTGTAGTTTAACTATGCACTCAGCAATATTCCAGCTATATGACGGTGGTCTGTAAATAATCGAGTCTTGACCAGACAATCCAGTGATTAACATCATGAGCATCGATCCACACAATTGGGATACGATGACATGCATCAACCAAGTCAGCGAACCTGACCACCCGATCCCATTAGTCGCCTCTTACGACAAGCATAGTCGCCTTTTACGCAAGCATGAGTTGCTGCAGACCTATTCTACCCCGGATCTTCACTGGTCTAAAGTGTTCACACCAAACACCTGGATTCAATCCTAAAACACTGGTGTCCCCCTACTGCGAAATTGCCGGCATATTGCTAAAGTTGTGTAAATTCCCAAACACACTCACAATTCTTTAACCTATTAATTAATAACACAGAAAGGAAAATTACCTGCTAGTGAAGTTCCAAAAAGGTCACACAAGGTCGGCACGATCAGAATAAATTCAAAAACTCTGAAATAAGAATTGTGGAATGAATAGATAATTTGTATACCATCTTCATGAGGCAAGGGAGTAAGGTAACAAAAAAGTCCACTTTCCACCCTTGCTATGCTGGAATAATGGAGTAATATTTTAGCTGGCTTAACGAGTCTATGCATAGTCCAATCAAAATCGTGTAACGAAATTAACATCAGGCTTGTAAACTGCCATGCCGCCAACTAACGTCAACAGATATTTTTCAGATATTTTAATGTTTTTAATCAAGGTGATCACGTGATTTGATGCACTTCACAAGGTAAGACCCATTTTATTAAAATATAGATTTTGATTATCAGTCAGATTGTCTTGACTGGGCGCCACCATTTTGTTTGAAGGAAATGCAAGTGATATAAGCGGTGGAATCTGATAGGTCAATGGTAGGGAGATAGAAGGGAGATGACTCATAATAGCCACTGGGCCCAGAAATTCCAGCCTTGTTCAGCAAGGGTGGTAACTGGGCTTTTACAGTAAGTTAACTCCCTTGCCTAGTGAAGATGTTGTATACATATGGAGACATAATAGGAATTTCATTCTTACTTTGCATGAAACCTTATGTACAATGCTCTGGACATAATATCACAGCTGGTACTTGGTAATAATGTTTTTATGATACTAGAGTTTGTGCAGGATGTCATTAAACAAGTGTAGCATTGACACTCAAATAGCATTTTTTTAATCCAAAATTTACTTATTCTTTGTTTCCCAAGAATTAAATCCCTTGGCTCAAATCCACGACTAGCATCTTCCCAAGGCATGCGTGTCCACTAGTCAAGTTTTCACCATTTCAAGTTTATGCTCTGAGCTTGAAATGCAAGGGAGATAACTAGGCTTTGATATAGGCTAGAGGAGACTCTTGCCATAGGCGGATCCAGAGGGCTGGTCCAGGGGCTCCAGACTCACCCCAGCCCCTTTGGAAAACCAAATGCAGTTTGTTGTAGGCAGAAAAGTTATCTGAGAGAGGATTGTGATAGTTTGGACCCCTCTGTTTCAAAAATGCTTGATCCGCTCTTGCTTGCCTAGGCAAGATTACAGCTAGAGGACCCTGATGGTCAATGGCCCTGGGACCCGTGAAGATCCGGGGTAGAATAGGTCTTCAGTAACCCATGCTTGTCGTATGAGGTGACTAATGGGATCGGGTGGTCAGGCTCGCTGACTTGGTTGATGCATGTCACAGTATCCCAATTGCGTGGATCGGTGCTCATTATGGCCATCACTAGATTGTCTGGTCCAGACTTGATTATTTAGCCGTCATATAGCTTGAATATTGCTTAGTTCGGCGTTAAACAACAAACAAACAAACACACATTGGCCAAGGAGTTAAAACAACATGAACTACTGTGTGACCAACTCTGGAATGATGTCCTACTTCTTTAGATGTAAATGATAAAACACCCCAACATATTGTGAAATTACTGAATGGGATAAGTCCCTGCTCAAGCACATACTGACTGACGGATCTGGGAACTTCTGACATGCTTCCTACACCATGTGATTACATGAAGTCTACTGTGTCATTTCTTCTGCCTGTGGAATCTAAGAACTGTCTCACCTTTTCTGTTCTAGAGGACGAATGGGAGCTTGTGGAAGTGTCTGGGTTGCCACCTGTAATATGTCGGTCAACACAAAGTGTGGGAATTAATGCTGGTCAATGTTCCAAAAGACAAAGAAATTGTCATGATCTGCCAGTTGCTAGAATTTAGAATATTAATAATGCTAGTGGCTAAATTCGACAGCCTCCCCATCAAATAGAATAGAAATAAGATCTGAGCTAGAATGAAATTAAAATTACAGACAAAAGAAATGCGAATATCACACATGTCAGTTAATACTTGAAGAATTACTCACTTTTAAGAGATATTAGATTGGTTCAATCCACAAGCGAACATACTGTTATTTTGTGTGAACCGACGCTCCTGAACAAATCACATGTGACGTCATAGACCCATGACTCAATATGCACCATTTCTATTGTGCAGGATTAGCGTGTAAAGTTTAGAGGTGAGGTGAAATGGGGTTTAACGTCGCATCCAAGATTATTGCACTTACATAGCGAAGTGTGTGTGTGTGTGTGTGTGTGTGTGTGTGTGTGTGTGTGTGTGTGTGTGTGTGTGTGTGTGTGTGTGTGTGTGTGTGTGTGTGCGTGTGGCTGTGTGCGTGTGGCTGTGTGCGTGTGTGTGTGTGTGTGGCTGTGTGGGTGGCACCTTTGTGTGGCTCTGTGTGTGTGTGTGGCTGCTTGTACTGTAGTGCTAGCTCACTGAGATACCATGCCGCAGTTCAACATGAATACCCCACTCAGACACAGTATACTGACTCCGAGACGACCAGTCCTTGTTTTAGCCCCTTAATGCCGAGCGCCAGACAGGGTAACATCAAGTACCATCTCTTAACATATTTTGGTAAGACGCGGCCGGGGATCAAACCCCGGACCTTCCGCTCTCCGGGCGGATGCTCTACCCCTAGACCACGGAGGCAGTCGTATAGTTTGGATGGCAGCGTATCATGCTAAGAATAAAGACACTCTGTGGTAACACTTGACTGATTGTAAGTTTTGTCATTTAGTCATACACATTGGAAACATCTCTTCTTAACGTACATATTTCTCTATATGTTTCAGTGGTTCGCAATTTTGGCGGGGTGAGTATATTAACAATTCATACAGATGTTCACATATTGTAGTACATGAAGGACTTTCATTTGAAGCAATACTTGTAATTATTATTCAAGGAATTGCCAATCTCATTAAAATCAGACCTCGGTTCTCGCTACCGCTAAACAGAGATCTGAGGACATCCCATAAGGGGTCACGTCAGAACGACCTTTCATCCGAACAATCAGAGCGTCGCTTACCAGATTATGAAAGTGACAGTAGGAATGTGATTTCTAATCATCAAAACTCGAAAACGTTAACACGGGGATTCTGAACGATAGTTACGGGTTTAACGACTGAATCCGTACAATCTAGACCATCTATTAGCCATTCCAGAATGTTCTTTTGTTCAGGTTTCAAATTTGTAATCGAGAATTCGTCAAAATATGTTTCGAAGCGTAGTCGCCAATTTAAAATTAGTGCCATAAAGCACAAGAAAGCTGCCTTCTGATTGGTCATTTCATTGGTCGGTCAAAGTTCGCGCAAGGTCATTCTGACATGACCCGTAATGGGATGTCCTCAGATCTTTGTTTAGCGGTAGCGAGAACTAAGAACTGATTTTAATGAGATTGAGGAATTTCAAATTTCAATCTCATAATTTCACATCAATAAACATGTACGTACCTCTTTTGCATATGCCATTCTTTCTCTTCTTCTGTTGAAACACAAACCAAACAGACAAGCCATTTCACCTGGAAGAAAAGTCACACCATCACGCCAACAACTCAACATCCTAACGTGGCACCTGAAGCCTCAGTGGTATTTATTTTCTAATTTTTTTATTGTTCCCAGAGTTGTAGAGTAAAACAGTATTCTGTCAAAATATATTTCTGATTGCATAGAATGACACAATACACTCTTTAAAATTTAAAGATTTTGAAACAAACATTGTCACATTTCAAACTGGAATGGTTGCAACACACAATCAGTGTGTGAGTGAGTGGGTTTAACGCCGCTTTTAACAGTATTCCAGTTATATCACGGCGTGTCAGCTTAATGTGGGAGGAAAGCTCGAAGTGATGCAGGTCTCAGACGTTTACCACTCCGGTGAAACCCAAGAGCATGGGTATGGTGCTGACAAACCTAGAAACCTAATCGGGGCGAACTGGGATTCGAACCCACAATCATAGGTTTCTGGCGCACCCAAGGGACGCAACTCTGCACAGCGAATCGCGTCGCCTAAGAGGACTGGGCCAACCGTGCCCCCGCAACACACAATCAGACTCAAACAATAACTCAGTGGGGTTTTTTAACACTCAATTCTTCTTTCAAACAGAATATAATGTAAAAAACACAACAGAAAACCAAATAAATAGTGTCCTTAGTACAAATTTTAAGCACCCCAAAAACTGCAATATCTGGAAATATCCCTGTCATCAAATTAACTACAACATAATCAAACATCATTTTTCCATTTAAATTAATCTGGTGACGAAGCAATAATGTGTACAACAAATATACCACTCAAAACAAGTTGTAAAACACCCGTAATTGGAAGGTTGTGTGTTGCAACACCCACCAGCCACGACAGATATAGTCATATGAAAAAGTCTTGTGTTCTTTAACTTCTCTATGATTGTGGGTTCGAATCCCGGTTCGCCCCAGTTATGTTTCTAGGCTTGTCAGCACCATACCCGTGCTCGTGGGTTTCACCAAAGTGGTAAACGTCTGAGACCCGCATCACTTCGGGCTTTGCCCCGTCGCAAATATGCTGCTTATCTGTAGCTCTGATGTGGGGAATCAAACAGTGTTTTTAGCATTACAGCCAATTCAACCACTCGGCTACCGGACCTCCCCATTAAAACAAAACACCCAAAATGCATTGTTTAAGTTTATCACCTCTTCCAATACTATAGTCTTATTCAGGATGTTCAGGCCTTAAATTTCATTTAAAAAGATAACTCAAAGGAGCCATTATAAATTGAAAGAAGCAAATTGAATTCAAAAGTTTTATAATGCATTGATCAGCATGATCAGGCAACAAAAACACAATGCCATTTAGAAAGCGGTCAAATGTAACAAATGTTATATTTGGGATAACACTTTCTTGGTAAAGTACAAATGCTCCTAATTGTTTTGGTTGATTCCAGTCCGGGATTCGAACCCACACCGCCAGAGTGAGGCACCAAATCGCCAGCACACAAAGTCAATGATCTAACCCACTCAGCCACCGAGGCTTCTACAAAAACGAAAGGCCAATAACTTGTAGTCCAGATCACATACTTTGTGTACCCCTCTGACAAGTGTAAGTTGGCAGGGCTCCCATGGCCAAAAGCTATGAACACACAATGCCATATAATGCATTGATCCGCATGATCAGGCACGATAAATAAATATTGTTTTATTAGGTTTGTGTCAAACTTTTGCATCTACTACATGGAACCACTTTTTTCATTTTTTCAGATCTACGTACTCTCTACATAGCTGACATAGGCTAAGCTTACTTAACAGATAGACATATTACTAGATTGCACTTTGGATGGTAGACTATTAAAGACGAGAAACATTTGCCTCTTACAACATACCTGTAGGTACTAGTCTGCCCAATATAGTCACTGATAGAAGGACACACTCACCTATAAACATGATGAAGGTTTGAAACCAGGGGTGGTCAAAGTCATGTGGTTTTGTTGTACTGTTGGCACTTCTGTCTGGGTAGCCTGGGGCACTGAAAACAGGGAATACAAGTGCATGGAAGACAGGAGAATGTATTAAAAGAATTGTATTGAAGACAGGGGAACAATGTATAAATACAATTGTATTGAAGATGGGAATACTTTATAAATACAATTGTAATTGAAAACAGGGAAATAACAATGAAATACAATTGTGAAGACAAGGGAATAATGTATAAATACAATTGTACATCATCAGTATGTGAAAGAATTCCTGAGACTGAAACAGTAATTGGACTTATCTAGGGATGTCAGTCTTATTGAAGTTGGTCCATGAGCTCTAATATATTATAACTATGTTATGTTGTCATACACAAAAACTACATACTGAGACAAATTAAGAATAACACAAAATTTGACAACAATCAGAAATGTTTTTCAAGTCACAATTGTTACAAAGCAATACATGTTGCCATATTGAAATAAAATATCACTTGTTGCCATATAAAAAAAAGAAAGAAAAATCAATTACTATTTTTAGTACTAATTTTTAACACTTAAAACTTATTAGAACTTGACATTTTCCAAACTTGTATAAAAGCAAATGTTATTCTACCTGGGATAGATATTGACGGATAAACGTTGTCGGAAACAAGTGGTCTACGGAACAAACTGGTAAGAGTTGTCAGGTGGGGTTCACTAGCATTAAAAAAAAATAACATTGTCAAAACACTGAAAACTTATCAGGACGGAAGAGGCGTATGAGGAAAATTATGTCAACACGTCAGTTTAACTAAACTGTAAGTGGAAAGGTGCACAATTGTCATTCTTTCTTCAAACGTGAAATGGATTCAAAGACATACACACAATCATTCTGTGCTTTTTTACTGATCGTGTTTATGCTTCCAGTAACCAACATCCCAATCATGAGAGCTATCTGCACACAGGACAGCGCCATTTTGAAAGGTGATCATGTGACTACAAAGTAATCACGTGATTCGCGTTGCCGTCAATGCGGTGGCAGGCACCAATGTGATTCAATTGTACAATTTAGTCCAGTTCCTTATGTACTTTTGTTGAAAAAAATTGGTGATTAACAAAACTATACATATTCTGAAAGCTTTCAATGTACAGATGAAGAAAACCAATGTTTCCAAATTTTCCCATCATTCATTTGGCGGCCATCTTGGATTTCAAGATGGCGGCCATTTTTGCCCATATTTGTCAAGTCTAAGGCTTCTGAGGTGTTTATTTTGTCATTTAATTGTTTATATGTGATATTATGCTTACTCATATGTAATTTAGACATGCTTAAGGTAATGATTTCACATTCTTAACAAAAAACTACCTCAACTTTTCTAATTTCTTAGTTGGATTTTGCAATATTATCAGTAGTGTGGATAGAATCCTATACGTTACAACTGTCTATCACAAAGTAAAATTGTTAAAGAATATATTGTACCTTAATTATCATATGACCCCTTAAAAACCGTCATTTATCCAATAATTACCTATGGTTATATGTTTCTCCAGCAACTCAGCAACATAAGAGCCATCTGTATCAATGCCTTGGCATTTAAATTTTCAAAATGTCACATAGAATTGTCATAGTCACTTTACACCAAAATAGGTCCCTTGAAGTCTTGAATAATAAAGTCAGAATTCTTGATATGTGTCTTGATATCATATTCACAGAGAGTCATCAAACCTGTCATTGCTGTCATCACCATCATTAGTTGACATATTTGTGTCATCGTCGTTCTCACACACTGAGGTGCAGAGGCAGAGTTCTGTACATGACAAGTTGTTTGATCGACATGTACATCTTTGGGTCAAACAGTCTTTCCTACACTGACACCTCACCATCTCAATAATAGCTTTGGGGGCTGGGAGAACATCCATTGTTGTTGGTTGGATCCGGTTATCTTTGTCCTTATGGAATCCATGTTGAAGTGGATCTAATTGGATCTGAGGGGCGATATTGGCTTGACCCCACACATAAGCTTGAATATGAACCCTCAGAATGTGCTGCTTTAGAGCACCCAGTGTTGGTGGTAGCTTGTCACTCTCTGCCATATGTTTGCAGAAGAGATACCATCTGAGCTCTGGAATATCTGTCACAGAGAGGCCTTTTGGACAGTAAACACTGCATACAAATCTGGCCAATGTTGAAATTATTTGGTCACAGAGTTCATCACTTGTAGTCAGCACAAGGAAAGCATTAACAATATCATCATCCGTTTTCAAGTATTTCTGAAACCATGTTGCTTTTCCTACTCGGGAAAATCTGCCTGTATTGTCAGCTCCTGTGAAGGCATGGAAGGCTGGCAAAGCTGATGATTTCTTCACACCTAGGGCTGTCCAAAGAGGCTTTATTGGAAGAACATTTGAGGCCATTGAGAGTGTGGTGTTTTCCAGGAGACTGCTGTAATTTGCAATGGTCAAAACAAGGACATCAGTGTCAGGAGAGAAGATTGTCAACTGCGAGTTCCTTGGATTGCGCTGTGAAGCTGAAATAGCAAGATATATCATGAGTGTGTCAGCTTCTTCATGATTGTTAGCTTCAAACTCCAAGTCTCTGTTGCTCCTGGTACAGCCGGATGCAGATGCAATAAAGGTTTGAGACGAATCAGCATTATACTCCAGTGTCTTTTCTGCCAGGTAGTCTGTCAGATCAGCTTTTGTTTGGTCATGAGACAGAAAACGATTTAACATGATGTGCTTGATTCTGGTGTCATCTCTAATTTGGTACTGAATAGGATCTCTTCCTTGGCGTCTCTTTTCTCTTGTTGCAGATTTGAGGGAATCTTGCTTGTATGTGTCAAAAGCAAGTATGACCTCATCAAACCCTCTTGCCAGGTTCATCACTCTGTCATTGAAGCACTGACTGAGATCTTCAACTGTTTCCACTGTATTTGGTAACTTTGTCATCTTCTGAAGTACAACCATCCCATCTATAACAGCAATTTTTCTTGGGATTTAGTTGAAGGTTTGATTTTGTTCTGTGTCACTGTCATCAACTGTGTTCTCTGGCTGACTTGCTTCATAGTTCATTGCTTCTTCATTTACAAACTTTGTAAGACTGGTGATCAACTTGGACTTGTCAGTGCATGGTAACAGCAATCCACTTGGTGAAAACAGTGACCTTGGAGTCAGCGTGAACTCAAAGTTACCAATTGCCTGTTTCAAGTCAATGTCTCTACTTGATCTGGCAAGAACCATCAGCCTTCCATACAAATCTTTTGTTTCTCTGAGATCCACATTCTTACCTCGGAGACGAACTGTTTGCTTTTGGCATCCTGACATGTACATCTTGTTGTTTTCCCTCTTCACTGGTGCCCAAAGACTCACTGGCCCGTTGATTCGTTGAGACACGTACTCTTCATAGAGCTTCTTTCCTGTTTCATCAATATGTAGGATCTGAGACACAAACTCTTCAGGGACATAGGCATGCGTCATTTAGTTAAAGATCTTGTCACCTTCAAAAGCAAATGGATTACCATGATCCAGAACAGCAGATTTGATCTTGTCAACTGCAGTGTGATCCCGACAAATGACTCCTGGTGAAAGGTCATGATGTTCTTCCATATCTTTTGCCTCTCGATGAAACTGACTTTTGTACTCACTAGCAAGACACAAGAGTTCTGGAGAGGCCAAAAAGAAACGCTGCCTGGCATTGGAATTGTTTGAGATACCAATCAAGCCTGAGTGAACTTTCATTAATCTGTTCAGATGTTCACATGCATGATCAGCTCCTATGGATGTAAATGGAATGTCATTCTTTGTAACTGATATGTTTCCAGCTTCAAACTCCTTCCAAGTCTCGGGGAAGTCGATCTTCAGGGCATGCATGTCAGCAATATATCGGGGCCACAGTCGTTTGTACTCGAGTCGGTCCATAGCAAAGAATAATCCGCTCAGTTCTTCTCCAGCCTCAAGATGAAGCTTCAGATCTGCATTGCGAGAAGCTGCTATGAAGAACAGAATTGTCTCAACTCGATGTAGATAATTCATCAGTGATTTGAACATAGCATTCTTTGATTTCTCAGTCTCCCATTTCAGAAATGATTCCATGACTTCTTCATTCTGAATTTGACCAATCAGATTAGAATGTTCATCTTTGACAATTTCAGCCTTTGATGATTTATCAGTCTTCCTGCATGCTCTTTCGATTTCAGCTGCTGTTTCCACACAAACTTCTTGAAGTTGAGGATATTCCTTGAAGAACTCTTGCAATGCTAATTCATAGAGTGCCATGTAGGTATACATATGAGCCCGCAGACAACGTTTGTAATGCGTACATGTAAGAACCTGTCTTGTTGTTGTGGGGCCAAAGACATCAGCTTCCATCCATGCATCATCAATGCCAGAGTTTTCTATGGACGTGCCTAAAGCTCTCAGCGCAGCCATGACAACATGCAGTTCTCTCAGTCGTGGCACAATGTTTTCTTTCAGTTCAGGCTTAGCATCTAGGAGTTTGATTACCTTCTCATAAAGGGCCATGTCAAATGTGATGACTGTAGGATGTTCATTTCCAACTGCTAGTTCTTTCAACTTCTTAGCTTGCAATATGACAGTTAGCAGTGTAGACCATTCATGTGCTACTTCTGGAAGGAGTGATAGGGCACCAACTCTAGTTGTTGATTGTCTCTCTGACAACAAAGACATGTAGCCAGCCCATCCAGGAATCATGCTAGCTTCTTTCTCATCATCTGTTCTGGCTATCATCGAAGCAACAACCCAGCCAAAGTGTGTTAAGTGATAGGACTTTCCAATACCTGCTTTGTTGGTTATAAATTCTTTGTCTTTTGAATGTGGATGGTTTCTTGGATTTGGTTTTTCACAGTAAAGCATCTTGGTATGGTAGGGAGCCACAGAGAGACTGTTTGCTTCAGTGATCTCAAGGGGTGGTGATATCTGCTGTCCAGTTGCTCCAGTGCTCTGATATACAGCAGTAATAGTCCCATGTGTGGTGCCTTTGCCATCATGAGTGTCCTCATCAAAGTCTGTGTTGTCAACAGCAAAAAAGACAAAGGAACCTTTCCTCAGAAATGGTGGAACATATAACCCTTGGAACTGTCTGGTGTTCTTCACAACTGCATTGGCCAGAGCTGTTTCCAACATTAGAGAACGTCTGTATGGAATGCAATAGTTGTGTGCACTGAGTAGATCCATGATCATCTTGTTTCTTGTGTCATGGTGGACTGTAAGGCCTAATCCTATTATTTGAGGATTTTCTCTTCCATTGTGAGATCTGAATGTTTCACATTCTCTTTTCTGTGTATATTTAACTTGTCTTCTTGACTTGAAACCGTACATAATGTTCTGACATACAGTCAGTACTGTTCTGTCAACAACGCTGGCTTTTGCTTCATTCTGAAGGTTTTCAACAGTTCCCACCATCATCCAGCGTACCAGAGTGTACAGCTCGATTTGGACGTCATTAATGTTACTTGTAACAGATAGGGGATTGTTGATTTTGTCATCTCTGTCAAAGGCTTCTATACTCTTTTGTACAAGCTGTGCTGACTTGTATATAACCTTCATGTTGTCCATGCCCTGGTCGTTTTCAATTGCAGCATGCACCATCTCTTTCTCGCAGGCTTCAGGGGAGTAGAGAACATCCGGTTTTCTTCGGTCTTTTTGCAGAACAGATCTGACGGATGGTAATTCTGTAAGTATCCTATCTTTCAGCCACTGCCTGGAATAAGTAGGTACATGGTCAGACAAGCAGTCTATACCTCCCAGCATGTTGATATATGTAACTTCAATATCTCCCATTGACAGATAGGCCTTGTTGTCTGTCTGTCTACATACCAGATTAATAAGTTCGGTTAAACAGGCACTTTGATGTCCAGATTCAGATCGCTTGTTTTCTTTGTGGGCTTCCTGGCGCAAAACATGAAATACATTTGTAGTCCAGCAGTTTTTGTGGTATCTTACATCAATGGAATGGGCATCACTTGGAG